GTTTCACGAGGTAACCTTTCCTCCAGTCAGTAGGCACCTTTCCCTCCTTCCAGACGTTTTGCAATAATGGAGTCAGCATATCTGCTGTCGTTTCTGGGTCCGCTTTCAGTGCTTCAGGGGGTAGTCCATCTGCTTTTCCAGCTTTCAGAAGCTTGATTGCATTCAAGATTTCAGCTTTCGTTGGAGGATTGGTGTCAACTTGCAGTTGTGTACGTGCTGTTGTTGGTATTTCTGGACGGGTTGTAGGTGGTGGTCGGTTCAAGAGTCCTTTGAAGTGGTCCGCCCATTGTTTAATCTGTCTTTCTTCTTTGGTAATTGGGTTCCCTTGGCTGTCTTTTATAGGTTTCAATTGTGTTGATCTCTTCCCGGATAGAGAATTGGTTATCTGATATAGTGTCCTCAGGTCCCTTTTGCCTGCTGCCTTCTCAGCTTCAGTGGCCAGATTGTCGTAGAATTGTCTTTTGTCCTTCCTGGCACTCTTCTTCACTTCTTTGTCCAGTGCTGTGTAATTTGAGCTCAGCGTCTCTTTCTCTTGTCCGTCTTTGCATTGAATCATTTTCCCTTTCACCATTCTCCTCTCCTCTATTAGCTTCCAAGTGTCCGTTGAGAGCCATTCCTTGTCTTGTTTCTTCTTTCTTCCTAAAACCGTTGAACACGTTTCGTTGAAAATCACCTTCAGAGAGTTCCAATGGTCTTCTACTCATGATTCTTCCGTGATGTCACGTAGTGTTTCCTGCTTTGCTCTGACAGTTGCAGTGAAAATGTCCTGTGGTAGAGTATAACTCCATTATGGATAAGACTTTATTTTGATAAATAACACAGTGTTGTACAGTTATACTAACTGATAACGTTTTGGGCACAAACTATTGATATGATTATGAGCAATAGTTTGTGCTCGAAACGTCATCAGTTAATATACCTGTACAACACTGTGTGATTTATCAAAATAAAATCTTATCCATAATGGAGTTTCTACGCTTATATATATATATATATATATATATATATTTGATAAATTTGTCCACCCTTCACTTCCTTCCTATACCTTGGAATTAATAATTCATCACAAGACTGGTATAATTTTTAAACTGTGTTAGTGCAGAGCCTGTGATAAGGAACTAGCTGAAAACGGGTGCATTTCTACAGTCGTTTTTTTTAAAAAGTGTTACATGCAGTCTGTTAGTTTTAACACTATAATTATCTTTCCATCAACTTGGTTTGTCAGTATTATAATTTTAATCCACCTTTTCTCATTCTATACATATCAACTTACATCTCTCGACTACTATCGCATTATTTTTATCTCTTATTCTAGGCTATAATTTCATTTGTAGAAATAAGTTAGTAGACTGTGGTCGAACACTTTACGATAATGTATTGTTATCATTAACAGATTTCATTATCTTTATGATAATTATAGAATAGTTTTACTTAACAGTGAGAAGAGAAAATTTTCCTCACTAAATAAACTTTGTTAATCGACTTCTCTGTATATATATATATATATATATATATATATATATATAGAGAGAGAGAGAGAGAGAGAGAGGGAGAGAGAGAGATCAAGCGTGCACTCATTCGAAGTTATGTTGTTTATATTATCATAAAATGAACTGTTTTAAAATTTAACTTTAAAAGGATTACAATAATGTACTGATGTCTGTATACAATAATATATAATCGAGCGCATTAAAAAAGCTTTTATTATTTAGTTTATTCCTGTACGTTTCCATTGGAACATAGGGCTTCAAGCTAGAGCTATTAGGTTTCGATAGCACTGGTGTTTATTTTTACGGGATGGGCATGCTAGCCAGCCTCATGTCGAACCTTCCCTCTTTACCAGTTTTACCGCTGGCTTAGAGAGGTAAAGGAGTGCGTCGACCAAGGATCGAAACCCGAACCACATGCATGGTAGGCGAGCATTCTCCTGCTGTGCCAGTGAGACACATAAAAAACTTTTAGGTCAGTGAAAACTTACAGAATTTCAAAAGTGATATTTTAAATTTATTCTAAATGATATGCTTTTTGTGTGGATTTTCTTAACATCACACAGCTGAATTAAACCGCCGTACTCCTATGATACAAACGTTTTGTGCACTAACTTGCTTTTAATCACGAATATTAGTATTCTATGTGACTACATTTCTTCTTTTAATCTTTGTGAGTACTCGTCCAGCACATTAGAAAGTTGTTATTGTTATTATTATTAAGCACTGGTAATGTTCGTTTCACTTTTGGAAATGAATCCTTTAGACAAGTCGATATATGTTGTTATGAGCAACCCAATTAATGCCATTATTGAATTGTGTATATTTGTTATATGTTGAATATGTGGTTAGTGTTTTGAACACTAGGGTCACTTTTTATAAGAGGTATGTTGACGAAACCATAGTAATGTGCAAGAAGTATAAAAAAGCTACATGTCTACTAGATACACTTAATCCTTGTAGAAAGTCACATTAACCTGCTATTTAAGGAATAATGTTTTAATGGATGCTTCCACTGGACACCAGGTAGCAACCAATGCTATGCGTCTAGTCCTTGATGTTAGTGCGAAATGAATCCTAACCGTCAAGTTTGCAATGTGGTCACCATTCTAGGTGGCTAGCCATCACAGTGCACTATCAACTGCAGCAAACGAAGGACTAGATACATTATGGCGAATGCTACTGATAAATCTTATCAGTAGTATATAAAGAGAGGTCCATTGGCATAATAACATCAAATGGCAACGGGATACATTTGCTGTCAGAGAAGGCAAATGATACAGTGTGCTGGAGATATATGGGAGATGCGAAAGGAATACAAAGAAACACAATATGAAGGCCACAACACGATGATCTGTACAAATTGTGCGTTGAAGATAAGGTGTGCATAATTTGTCTATATAGAGATACCGATTTCCCTTACCAAGTCTTTCGTCTCCTACCGTTTCAGCATGACACTAATTACTACCTAATGTTCAATAAAAGAAAAATTAAATAACACTGAAACGCATTCAATGGCTGCAATCGTGACCATTATGTAAAAAGGGCAAACAAGTGAAGACAGTGAGGTATAACTGTGCATAAATGCCAAATATAGAATCACTCATTGTCATTGTATGTCTGGTGCTACTTATCGCCATTTACAGTAACAATAAATATGACTGTACACTTTGAAAAAGGAATCATTGAAAAGAAATATTCCTTCGTTGAACAAAACTTTATTTCTCCTTATTGTATGTCTAGACAGAATTCCTACAGGTAATTATTTAGCTTTGCAAACTATATACCCTAAGCAAATATCTACTGTTTTCATCAGAATTCAATATTGCTAATAAATGTCATTCAGCATACTACAGTTAATTTCATTAAACATCGAATTCAATAAAGTAGTGAAAAATGATTTTTTTTGTTCCTTCACGTTCCCCAGTGGAACATAGGGCTTCAAGCTTGTGTTTTGAAGTTTCTGTAGCAGTGTTTATTTTACAGGATGGGGTTGCTAGCCTCATGCCCAACCTTTCCTCTTCACCAGCATTATTTCTGGCTTAGCGAGGTAAAGGAGTGCGTCGGCCGGGGATCGAACCCCGGACCATGTGCATGGGCGGCGAGCGTCCTAACCGCTATGCCACCGATAATAGCACTAACAAAATCATATACATTTATATAGTCAGCCATTCATATGCTTGGATTCAAATACAGTTTACCACAATGCTGTCAAGCGTCCATATTGAATCGTTTTCATTGAAATTATTAGAGAAATTATTCTTTGGCTTACACACTAAGTACTAGTGTATAAACATTCTATCAACTCCGATGATTTTATTCCCTTGGGAGTTACAACTTAAACGAATATTATTTAACCAACTGTTTGAGCTTCTTGAACAAGTACGCGTAACTGTTAAATCCAAGCGTTGAAAGTAAGTGTACACCAAATAACTGGAGTTCTCGTGGTAATACTTAAAATTAATTTGCAGTTGGTAAAGTAAAACTAGAGTAATACTGATAATTTTTCCTTATCTATAATAAGTTAGTGTTTCAAAGACTGCTCTGAAAATCCTAAATTGTGTAAATATAATCTAACAACAAAGACATTCATCTAAAGATAACCGAAAAGATCAGTGCATTTAGTTACAAATGTATTGCAACATTGAATATATTGTCAATGAAAGAGTAATAAGTCAAAATAAAATCGGTGCAGAAAAAATTAACTTCCACATGACACACACTAGAAGTAACAATATGAAACTAAAATTTGACAGCTAACGTTCCATACTTTCGATAACATTTTCTCAGAAAGGATGCAGTTTGGTCTTCTCACTTTAAATGTAGCCAAAAATGCCTAGAGTATCAGGGGAGACGACCAGTTAATTGTCTTCACATAGCAGACATCCTTCAGAAAGAATCATTGGCATGTGAATCAACTTTGACAATAGGTAATCATAAGAAATGCAATCTTCAATGTAGCTGCTCTGTTTTGTGGATTAGGTTTCACACAAAAAAGCTCAAAGACTTGTTGGGATAATCACCTGTTAGCGTTTTTACATCAGGGCGATATTTCCATATTCACATAGAATTACAATTTAAACTATTTTCCTCATATTCACAGATAATACACCTTTACGCCTTGCAACACTATTTTTTGTAATATTATTTTTCAAAACTTTCCCTGCTAAGTTAAAGAACTAATGCTTTATAACTTGAAGCACTTATTCATATAATATTATTCCAGGCGAAAGAAGTTTTCTCGACTTCACTGCATAAGGCGAGGCAAATCAAGCAAATATCTCCAACTGTATGCATTTTTGTGCATATAAGAAAATAAATCGAAAGACGGTAGAGAGAACTAATAATATTATTAATAATACTAATAGAATTTATTACATATTAATTATTATTATTATTATCATTTATTACATATACGCATACCGTACTGTGCATTATAGTATATACATGAAAACTTTAAGATGTAAAGAAATTTCTTTCACTCTAAATCAACATAATATTCTGCAATATGCACCTCTCTGTTCTGTGGACATAATGTTAAATACAGTAACGACAATATCAATAATAGTCCAGTAAATATACAAACAAGTTATTCTTTAGAACATCAATATACATAAATAGGTACACGCTTAACACTGGCTTGAACACTAGCCAAAAAAATAAATAAATAAATATTAAAGATATAAGAAAAGGTCTAAAAAAGGGAGAGAATGGATGAGAAGAAGTGGAATGAATATTACCAATATTAACAAGAAGATTGTTCCAAAATATCAATTATGCCCTTTCATTTCACGAACATGTTTTGTTTAAAAGTTATTAGTGTTCTGATTTTATTATTAATATTTTTAATGATTACTATTAAATATAGGTATTGAAATTGTTGACATTTTGTACAATAAAGGTGAATAACTTACACAACAGATAGTAGTAGTAGTAGTAATAATAATAATAAGGTGAGAGAGAGATGAGGACAAATGAAGGCAGAGAAAATTTATGCACTTCGATTGTGATAATCGTCTGTATGCATACACTCGTGGGTACAAGCACACGAACACACACACACACGCACGCACACAGACACACAGAAACTGATCATCTGTTGAATAATCAACAAAAATCAGGGGAACGAAAACTGGGAAATTCATTTTATCAAAGACAAATGCAAAATTAAAGATTGTAGTAGACTGTGTGGAATTAAAATGAATAGAATGCAAAAGAATCTAGATTTTCAAGTCTTTACATATTATAGGAATCTCTTTTCAAATATTAAAAACCCAATTTCAAAAAGATAATCATCATTTTAATAATCATAAAGGAGCAACAATGGAATATTTGATTATCTAATCAGATTTCAGCATATTTGGCCCCTCTTCAATAATTAAACTATCTGCACGTGGCCATTGTACTCTAGTAGAAGTAGTATTAGTGGTTTGGTTTGTACCTTTCGCACGACTACCTGGATACTGCTGAGAAGCCATACCTTCGGTTGGAGTACAAACACGTCTTGAATGCATAGGTGGTTTCATGACGCTTCGATTATTTCTATTTCTACTTCTTGTATTACCTGAAGTAGAGGCGAGTCCAGCAGCAGATGATGAATTAACTGCAGGATGATTGTCTGTTGAATCATTTGTTGTATTTGGTTTACTTGTAAATCGCTCAATTATGTGTCTCGGATGTCTAGTCCACTTGATCATAGTTTCTGATGATCTATAGAGGAAGAATAATTTTGCTACTAATTGTTCTTCTAATAGTAGTAAATTATTTTCACGTACGAGATAAATTTCATGGCAAAGATTCAAAATACGATCCACATGAGGTAGTTCTTCTAAACGGATTACATAGGAAATGTTACTGTACATGGTACGTAATAAACGACTAGCCAAAAAGATGTATGCCGCATACATACCAATGATGCTGAGATAGAAAGAGAAGAGAATACAACACAAAGTTATTACAATGAAACAGGATGAATATATGTGTATAATAAATAAAGTTATTTCATAAACTGTTTACCGATAACAAAACAATGAGACTGTCAGCTAAAATAAAATTAATACATCCCAGGAATTTCATAATCCCATAGATCTAGTGTACATGCGTCGGTGGTTCAATGGTAGAATGCTAGCCAGCTCTACACAGGAGGTCAAAAGTCCGATTCCTCACCGAGGCACTCCTGCCACTTGCTTAGTCGTCGGTAGTGAGTCCGGGAAAGAGGCAAGGTTGAGCATGATGCTAGGCAAATCCACACCACCGTTACAAAAATTTAAAAGCTTGAAGCTCCCTATATTTCACTCGGGACGCATGGATTGAAAAGACGAAAACACCGCAAAAATACTGATAAAACATGCGTTTATCGCCAGTTTAAAGGACACTTTCACAGCATAAAAGCTTCCGTAATACTCTATTGTCTACCGTGAGGATGAAAACTGAATTGGATCAAATCACAACCCAGTACATGAAAAATCAGAGCTCATGGCAATGACCCATCGCTATACAATCTATAAAATCTAATCAAGGATTAAAGATATTAAAATTCTACTTCAAATTTTCACCTACGTTACGTAAATTGTGTAGCGAAATCATAAAACTAGACACACTGGGCGATAAATTATTAACAGCGTCATGGAAGCACTGAGAATACTAACCAACAGATAGAATGCATTACCATATGGTATAAAAAAGATGATAACAAAATTGAAACGAAGAGTACTGAGTAATATAAAAAAACCGGGAATTACTGCGTACTTCAGGCGAAATCTACAAGAGCACTTCTGTTTTTAATCGTCTTTAAGAGCCGTAAAGTTGTTTGAGTCAAATGAATCGACAGTGTTATTTTGTCTTGAGTGCTACGTCACAACAAATATGTCACAAGTGATATATACATATATCATGTAAATCTGAACTGTGTACTGGATTTACCCATCCTAATAAATAAAACAACTATTAAACGTTTCGACTGAACAAGAATCAAACTATCATGTAATAAAGTCTGTAAAAGGTTAGTTTTGTTTAGAATGGTTTCACAATTATATCATACAGTTAAATACCATAAAACATCGATCTGAACTATAAAGTTTTTGTATGGCTGGATTCAAGAGAATTATGCATAAATAAGTAATGAAAAATATAATAGTAATAATAATACCAATCCCTTATAATCATAAAAAATCATTGAATTACCCATAGTTGTTGAACACTTTACCAAAAAGACTGTCAGATACACGTTCATTGAATGTAATTAGGGATAATACCTGAGCGTCAATAGCATTACTGTTCAACGTTGGATGTCGAATCACATCAAAACATGGATCAGATGATGGACTACTAATTTTTTCTCTTAATTCCCACCAAGCTTGACGTCTTATTTGATCTTGGTGTATGTAAAAACTAACATTTACATAAGTACTTTGACTGCCAAGAAAAGCATAAGCACCACGAAGTCTATCTTTTTTCAGTAGTACATATCTTGGTAAGACAGCATTCAATGTCACTGAATCGGTCTTAGATTCAGGCAACTTTGAAAGGAAGCTATTCGTTGTGATATTAGGATTGTTTGTTAGAAGTGTTTTTGGTAAGTTGTTATAGACATCAGAGGCTGGAAATATGGTATCTGTTGAGTTCACCACCTTAAGTAATTGTAATTTTTCTTCTGGAGTTAGTTTCCTGCTGAATATATCCTCTACTGATGTATGACTAGATTGAATTTCTTTAGTTGATCTGAAAATAAAGTGGAACATATACAAACAAAATCAGGGCACTTTAAGGTTGTAGATGAGCAATTATACATATACATATATATAAAGGCAAATTACACTTGACAAATAATCATATAATAAGAACACAAGAAATGACAAAATAAATAATGAAAACTATAAATTTATATACCTGCGACATTTCATATGAAAATGCAACAACAGATCTGAATCAGGAGAGCTTAATTTTTTCATTAATGCCTGATAGGAAGGTGGAGTAATAGCCCATATATTGCCTGAAAACCCATCGATTGTCACATAGCGAAGATCATTCCATTCGAAGTTGTGTAAAAACCCAAAAGTTTGCTTCAAATAATAATAATAAAAGACATTTTTTAAAAACCATAATAATTTACCATTAAATAACTTAAATACACAAGCACTCTCGTACTACATTGCAGTGAATGGTGACAACAATAAGCAAATATAAAACATACAGCACAAGAGAGATAAAATGCCTATTAAAGCAATCCAACAAACACTAATGATGATTCCAAATAAAAGACAACCACGTCTAATACACTAGCTATGTAACAACAAAAAAGTGTGATACGACTGCTAATTTTAATACTTAACCATCCAAATCTTGTTAAGATGAATGACCAGGCCGCACCCTGCAATGAAATACGTACGTTTTCTTTATCATAGCTTGATTCCACACCGTATTTTCGGTACAGATATGGAATTTTCAGCATGTGATATCGGTAGTCCAAATTTTGCAGGTCGACCATAGATATCAGGTGTGCGTCAGCAGGGGATCGAACTCCGGACCATGAACATGGTCGGCGAGAGTCCTAACCGCTGTGTCGCCGATGCCTTCTTGTATACAATGTGCATTCAACAACTCGATACTCTACGAGCTAAAACAATAAATACTCTCCGCTCTTTTAAAATATAGATCTAAATACTCAACAGTTGTTCTGTATAACAATAACGATATAATGATATACAGACCACTTAAATAACCAAATGTCTCGACGTACAAAACTATCATTAATTTTAAAACTAAACACACACACACACACACTGAGATCATAACAAAGTCAATTTTAAATAGTGGTAATTATAATCGATTAACACACTGATCGTATACGAGTAGCTAAGGTGAAAATAAGCTCATTATTCTTAAAGTAGACAATTAACTAGTCTTGACAATAAAGCTATCGTATATAACAAAGAATAGCATATTAAGCCACATTACCATCAGACCACTCATACTAAATTATGATTTGGATCATGACTTGCGTGCATTGTGTTGTGATGCATTTTTAATTTTCTGATAAATACTAAATAGCCTAATTATATAGGCATTTGCTTGTTTAACACTCCATGACACTTCTGGTGTGTTACAGAAACTTTTTGATGCTACATATATAATTACATGGAAATATAAGGATGAACCGTAGGTGATAAGAGTAGGTTTGCAGGAAAATTGGAACTGAAGTTTTGTGTTTATTAGCACTCAAAAGTAAAGTGTTCGTGAGTAACTAAAGAACCCTAAACTTCTGTATCACACACAGTACCAATATATCAATCAATTTCACTACAAAGCTATTTTAGTGTATGTTAATCGACACGAAACAACAATGCATTAAAAATATGAAGTAATCAAAAGATTAATATAAAACAATATGTAAGAAAGCATACATACCTTATCTTTTTCATGACAACGAATAAAATTACTTAGTTCAGATGAATTGACGGTAAATATGTTCCCTTCACGTGAAGTGAATTCAAATGTCGGCTGTGAAGAGGAGAAAAGTTATAAAAACAATATAGTAAGATAGGCTCTGAATGTGTTGAGTATATTAAATAAAGATGAATAAAAAGGAAACCTGTACTGAAGAAGAAGGAATTCGACCCTAACAATCTAACCTGATACAACTTAAACTGAGTAAACATTAGTAGTGAAACGCCGATCAAATGTGACCTTATTATACACATCAAATTAGAATAAACATTTTGTGTATATATTCGTATGTATGTATGAGACATTTAAAGTATACACGTGATGGCCTACACCCAATATATCATATATACATATATTATTAATCCACTGCATATTACTCATACAAACAGTCGTTGAGATGAAAATAGTTAAATTCAGTAGGTTGACCGATGTGTTATAATATGTTATTATGATTGTTATGAATTAAATTATCAATTTATTTTGGTTTAGTTATTTAAGTCGATAAGACAACCTTTGATTTCAGTCGTAATAATCATATTTAACCTGCTAACATTGTGCTGAACGCGATACTTAGTTGTTACATTTGGATAAACAATAAATAATATATATATAAGGTTTAAAAAATATTATGAAAAACAGATCAGAAAAATAATTTTCAAGCATTATTTATTTTCGACTATTTTTGTCTCTTAGGTATTATGAAATATTTCATATTATAACACAGACATGCATATTTACTAGTCATTTTCATCTTTTCAATTAACCGTATTTCTTTATTTGATGCGATGATAGGGAGACACAGTATCATATAATTGGATGATATCTTGAGCACGATTTCTATTAAGGTAATCATAATACCATTTTCAAAGCATTTCGCATTACTCTCTATCTCTCAATTCTTGTTTTCGTAATAGAATTTCACAAATATTCACAGTGGATGTTGAAACTCCACGCAGTATTTATTATTATCAGCTGTTACACACTGAGGTGTGGATCATCTCGAAGTGCGTGAATATGCACATGGTTTTCTGTTCAAAACTATTATGCTACACAACACGCAGACCAATAATTACAATTATAAAGTTGCATAGAAATGTCTGTCAGTAATTACACTTGATAAATCATCATTTACAGAAACACAGTAAACTATTATAACATACCGGAAAACCTCCAAATGAAAAACTGAAGCTACACAACACCGGTGGATTCACATCGAATGTAGCACCAATGAATGAGGTTAAAGCCATTGGGCCCCAAAAGCAGATAAAGAAGAAGGCTAACAGTAGACCACCAGTCAATGCCTTTTTACTAGTATCACGATTTTGTCCCCTTGGAGTAGGATAGGCAAGTTCAGAACGACGCCAACACTTTAGAATAAATATTTTGGAGTAAACATCCTCCAATTCCATCCAGTGGTATAAAGACAAAGCACTACTCGTCCACATCCAATCCATCACATTTCGTAATTCATACAAAAACGGAATGAGCAAATATCTAAAGTGATAAAAAGAAAACAATACGAAGAAAAATGTATTCCATGAACTAATTTGAATACTTTATGTAAATACTTATGATATTTCATACACGAGAAATCATTTTACAATACTAATACACTAAATCAACTATTCAAGTAAGTAACCGGATAACTATATCTATCCTTCTTTATCTAAATATGAATAAAAAACAATCGGGTGGTCAAAACTAAACAGGCTGAATGGAGTGGAATGTACAACACAGTCAAAAGTCGAGTAGCTACATCAATCACAACAGCATTTGCTATGGAAACAATTCAATTCAACCACAAAGCGCCTACAGACATATATATATATGTATATATATATATATATATATATATATATATATAAAATCTCATCTCGATGTTAACCAGTTTTGGGTAAAATGAAGATGTTCACTCTGGAGTTGAATGAGTAGACGACCATATTTATTACAAGAAAATGCTAACAGAATTACTTATGTTGTTGATAACAGTTGCGTATTTGCATAGCTGTCATAATAAATCATGGATTTTTCACTAATAAGATTTTATAATACCTTCACCGTTGACTGTAATATAAGAGTGGGACGGTATTTACAAGTGGCATGAATATTTTACTATGAAAATACTACCTAAGTATTTATGAGGTCTTTAAACAAGTCTTAATTCGTCATGAAGTTAAAGTTCAAGCTGTCAATAAAAACCACTTAACGAAACATTCATGATCAAACAGAAAAGCTAGATTAATACTAAATAATTGTCATACTTATACTGAACCCAAAGTTTTCTGTATTATTGGAAAAATCCAGCTTACCCTTTGAACAAAACTAAATTGATATAGTTATAGTTTTTGGTTAAAAAGTTTCCCAGTATTCGACGAGGATAACCACTGCGTATTTGATAGGCTGATAGGGAGAAGTACACACACTTGATCAGGTATAACAATTGAGGCGCCAGACCAGATGTGAATGGACTAAATGCAATAACATATTATTATTTGATCATCAGAAATTAAATTCAAAGAAACACACTTGAAAATGTTAAGAACGTCTACGGAAATAAAATAATTTTAGTTTTGAAATGGACACCAACCAGACAAGTGTTTAACTCTCGGCAATTTTCAAAATCTAACTGTAAGTTTTCTTATGTGCTGTGGCTCGTTGGTCTAGGCGCTAGACTTCTAACCTGTGGTTCACAGGTTCGACCCCTGCTTCACAGCCAGGTGGCATTATCAGACTTCACAAGATAGGTTTGGCTTATTGCCAACTGCATGTAAATGCAAGTGGTTGCTAGGTAACACTTCATCTGTATTCGCTCCCAAAATTTGATTACTTGCTATATGGATACCTTGAGTGAAATACAGCCATATTGTCTTAATTAATCAACATTAATCAATACTCGAATGCTGTTGAACTAAACATAAACACCAATGTATCAGTTTATATAATGTTTCAGTTTGGTTACATGGTTTGATAAACTACGTCTATTTTGTGTTATGTCATGTCAATTCACAATAACTAACTCCATACAAAAAAAAATGAAACTGTAACCTAAATCAATCGAATATTGATAGATAGAACGACATGTTACCTAAAGTGGTGTACCTACCAGTTACATTCTACAGTATATAACCAAAAACATGAACATATAGGAAGTGGTTAGAATATACTGCAACGAATTCAAAATACATTAAATTAACATGATATCATCCTGCTTTCCGCCTTATGCACTACTAAGCTAAGTCAAGTATATTTACTTTCTACGCAACCATAAAAAGCAAATATTCTTCCTCATGATCAGAACTTGTAAATGATAAAATTAGAGTTACTAGTCATCAAGAAATTATCTTGATGAAGATACATGAAAACTAACTAATAATAACTCACGTTCTAGTGATATGTGGTAGGATGAAAAACAACCATCCATGAATTAATACAACATGAATAATTTGAAATATAAACTTTCCAAGAACTTGTTTCTGTAAGAATAAACCTCGATCGATTATAATGAAGACAAATTGTACCAGAAGCATTGAAATAAACGGAAGAGGAATCTAAAAACAAATACGATGAATATATTGCATTATATATATATATATATATATATATATTTATATATATATATATATATTTATATATATATATATATATTTATATATATATATATATAACACTATCAAACAGATTGCATAACTGGTTATGTTACGATCTCGTATCGAACAACAATGAAAGTGGAACTCATCTAGTAAGTACAGTTACTCTCACAGAGATCCGCCACAAATTTCAGATTTAATGCCTAACATTAACGCATTGTCTAATGACTAATTGTTAGTTGATAAAAAACTACTTAATTTGGTCATCCCATTAAAAGTGAGAAAAGAACCAAGAGATTCCCAGGTTATTCATTTAATGAATGCAAACAGAACAATCTGTATTCTCAAACAATCTATACAGGAAGGAAGGTATCATCCTTAAGCAGTAGTTACCACACACTTCTGCTTCTTTCGGCCAGAAATTTCAGGACAAACAGACATGAGCATCTATGCTCTCCCGCAAGATTAGACAGTGTGTACGTATGGACCCCGAAGCCTGGTGGTCAGAACGTGCGTGTAAGACGGAGTCAACTGCTGCATTTCGCAACAGTCGGAAGCTGTTCCAACCTATCTGAGCCACCAACGGTAAAAAAGGTGTTAGGAAGACGGTCTGAGGGGCAGATGGCACACCAACTACCAGCTTGAAAGGACGCATGGAACGCTGGGTAGAGCACTTCGAGAAACAGTTTAGCTGGTCACCAGCTGTTGTATTCGCCGTCACCAGCTCCAGTGCTCCTTGGTTGGTCAGTACCGAACCACCAATAGAAGTGGAGGTCCAGAAGGAACTCCAAGTACTAAACGCCATAAGGCACCCGGCCCAGACAATCTAACCACGGCTCTTTTTAACGATGGTGGCAAGACTCTCGTCATGATTTTAACTGAATTATTCAGGAAGGTATGGGCGACATAGGATGTACCATCAATGTGGAACGAAGCCATTATCGTCCCCATCTTTAAAAAGGGTCGACGCAACACATGTGACAACCATAGGGGTGTCAGTCTGCTACCAGTTGTGTCTAAAATATTGGCTGCTGTCTTGCTCCGAAGGCTGTGCAAAACACGTGAAGGATTGATTCGCGAAGAGCAGGCTGGGTTGCGTTCATGTCGTGGATGCATTGATCATGTGTTCACCCTTCGTCAGTTGTTGGAACACCGCCACACGTATTGCAGGCCAACAATCGTTGTGTTTCTTGATATTAGGGCTGCCTTCGATTCTATGGAAAGAACAGTGCTCTGGAACTGTCTGTTTGCTAACATCTTGAAAGTCCTATACAGAAACACCTCAGGTAGAGTGAGGGCATACAACCAACTATCATCACTGTTCCCAACCAACAGTAGGGTTAGACAGGGTTGCCCGATCTCTCCATTTATCTTTAACTTGGCATTCGATGACATTCTTGAGTCAGCTCTGAGGGATGTGCGTGAAGGTGTTGTAGATCTGCTCCTTGGAGATAAACTTTTCGACCTCGAGTATGCAGAGGATATCGTCTTACTGTGAGGTAACATACAGGCTGTCCAAATCACACTTAATCAGTTGGCGATCATTGTCTGTAAGTATGGTATGTGTTTTGCGCCGCCTAAGCCTGGACTTGCACTCACTCTTGCAGGTGAACCGCTTGAATTTGTTGATAAGTTTGTTTATCCGGGTAGTTTTGTGAGTACTGGTAGAGGGGTGATGGATGAGATTTCCAACGGTATAATGAAGGCTAGGGTAGCATACGTCAACCTGAGCCACCTCTGGTGCCATCGCGACGTTAGCCTGACTGTCAAAGGTCAGGTATACCATGCTTCGGTGCTGGCTGTCTTGCTCTACGCCTGTGAAACATGGACTCTCCGAGCTGAGAATGTGCGGCGGCTCTGCGTGCTCGATCATCGCTGTTTCCGCAGGAATGCTTGCGTTCGACGGCATCATCGCGTGAGTAATTCTGAAGTTCGTTGAGTGTTGTCATTTGGAAACACCGGCTTAGGTGGCGTGGACATGTGTTGCGAATGTCATCCCAGAGGCTTCCGTACAGGTCTCTATTGGCTAGCCCTGGGACGGGATGGAAAAGGCAGAGAGGTGGTCAGCCCATGATGTGGCATCATGGGATGAAGGATATTTGTGTTAGGATAGCATCGGTTGGTGTGTCACGACTCCCTGGTTAGAGTCCAAGACATAGCTCGAATCGGTGGCTCTAAACGTTATCAGATATGGCCAAGAATCGCAATGAATGGAGAAGGTGCTACAATTTCCTTCTTTCTTCTGTTTCCGACGATAACTGACAACTGTTGTTTGAACTTGTTAAATATGACTGTTTTCCTTAGAGATGAAGTACTCTATCCGTTCTCCACCCATATTTTTACTTTTAATCTATGTTGTTTTATTATTATTGTGTAGCGCATCTTCTTGGTGTCATATTGTACCAAGTTTCTTTGTGTTTAAATGAATAAATAGAATAATAATAATAAGTTTCCATGATTATGTTATTAGATGATTTCCCACTCCACTAACACAATAATCAAGTTGAAAAGCCTATAATGACAATGATGCCTAGCAATTTTTACTGTTATTAATCACAATAAACTTACTCTGTTCGATTTAAGAAATTCAAGCGCATTATCACCCATTCCGGTCTGAAAATAATAAAGAAACAAACAAATGAAAGAGTGTGTAGCCAAAAAATATGCGAATTTTGAGGAAAAATCACACAACAAATAGACAACTATGAGAAATGGCACATAGAAGCCCAATACAAATTCAGCAATGAATAAAACCAAACAGATTAAGAATATTTAGATTATCGGAGATAATATGACAACGGATATAGGCATTCGGAGATGCAAATTTGAATCTCCGGGGGAAAAATGACGAGTATTAGCAGACAAGAAATATAAGCAGAGTTGGACTAATTGTTGACAGACCCATAACAATCACATTTAAGAAAAAGAGGAGTTAAAATTCGAATGATTTGTAGAAAATTTCCAGTTCTAACATATTTGCACTGTGAACTTAGACGAAAGCAGTTTACCTCATAAAAATGCAAACGAGGTGAAATAATAGTCCTTATATTCAGTATTTCAAAATTGTTTTCCAAACGCAATACTATCAAATTCTAAAACTTGTAGAGCTCAGGATAATTCTAAGTCTTCAACTGGAGAACAGTTTCTGATTTAAAACAATATTCTCTTAGTCAGGCATACGTTAGAGCTATTAGAAGTTGAATGATTTGTCAGGCAGTAAGAATACGATTTTGAAGCCTTAAAACTATTTGCAGTAGTGAATGTACACCTGCTGCTTGCAAGGAGTGAACAACTTATCCTTTAAAACTTTTCGAATCGTAGTTTTGAGATTATTTGGTCATCAGATTTACAACGACATGACTGATATTAAAGAAACGGCCTGTTACAGACCATTAAAAAATCATGATAATTAAGGGGGAATGGATATCTGTTTCAGCTTACTTATCCAATCTAATAAGGTGGGACCACTCTACCTGGTGACCTTCTCTTAATGTCCTATTTCAAATCTCTTGATCTGTAAATTATATCTCAATCACTAATATATTACTCAAAAATAACGATTCCGCATAATCAGACATCCAAGTCTCTTAGATAAAGACAAAGCCAATCAAGTTAATACATGATACATCGATCAGCGCATTACAACTTTGTTTACATAACGGATTACTCGAAATTTTTATATAAGTAAGTTTAAGTAAAAAAAATTTAATTTTAACGACAACTTACACTTGGTCCAAATGAAACATAACCAAGTATCATAATCCAAAAAGCAATAAACTCGCACAGAAACATGTAGATGTAAACATCAACTTTCTTATTATACCGCGGATCAGTCATTTTTAGATAAAATCGTCTGAGTTTTAAAAGCGGATTCCACGTCTTTCCAAAAGGAATTGCATGACACGATGGTTGAGCATATGGTTGAATGCAACCGGTGGTGGTTCCTGTAGGTATCCCATCATCTATATCAAAATCCATTTGTGGTTTATTGAAATGAGGACTAGGTGCTATCCGTAGGGAACTATAATTTTTTTAAATAACAACAAGTGACAAAATGTCAGACAATCAAAAATCACAGTAGAATTTTCACAGAACTTTGTATCAGCCCAAATAAATGACAAATAACACTAATTTTATTTTTCATTTTACTTTATTTAGTAACTAATGAAGATGATGAAAGTGACACTAGTCGGGTAAATGTACGACGCCTTAAGGAAGAAAATATGAAATAAACCTTTTACAAATGTAGAATCAACTAAAAAAGAATCTTCTACATATTCAAAGAACTTCACCTAGCTTTTACCGGAGAAGTAAAACAAGAGTCCACTACTTTGAAATCAGTATGGACATATATGGCACTTAGCACAAGGAACAGGATACGAATTTTCAGCACTAATGTCAAATCAACCTCGCTCAGTTAACTAGCTTGATAGCCTTCTGGCCGGTCCCAAGCCCGGGTAAAGAGGGAGAGTTGGGCGTGGGACTAGCAACCCTACACCACTCTAAACCTGTCAAACTGATACACAAACTTCAAGGCACAGAAAATACATTAAAAATACAAAAAATTCAAATAACAATCTTATTCTTCGATGGATTCGGAGAGGTGAAATGATGCAGGTTGGTGAAAGCCTTCGGGAAGCCAGTCAGTCAGCCGATGTGTCTTCTTACAATAGAAGCAAATGTAATAATGGGGCCATGGAATGTTCGTACAATGTACGAGGCTGACTGGGAAGGCTACCCAGGTAGTCAAATAAATGCAAAGATATAGCATAGAAGTGCTGGGTATTTGCGAGAGCAGATGGAATGGATGTGGATTGTCAAAATTGTCAACTGGAGAGTCAGTAATCTACTCTGGCCTGATCATCAAGACGCCAACTACGAACACATTGAGGCAGTGAGTGGCTATAGTGATGCAGTGGGAACCAATTTCATCCTGCAGGATAATGACAGCAAGGTTCAACTCAAAAGGAAGGAAGGAGGGAAGGAAGGTCACAATTATCCAATACCACACACAGTGCTACAAACAACGCGGAACAAGAGAATAAGCAAGAACGGATGAAGAATCAGAAAGGCCAAATACTCCTGCATCAACCTAAAGCCGGTTTGGAAATAGTCTACACACAGCATAAGGAACAAGATTCGCATTTTCAACACCTATGTGAAGTCAGTCCTTCTATACCGGTAAGAAACTCGCAATGCGTGTCACGAAAAGAATTTCCAACACGCCACTACAGACTTTCATCAACAGCTACCATCGCCGGCTGACTCCATATTGAAGATCAAATGGCCAGCCGGTCAGAAAGAATAAGTAACACGAAACTGAGCCAATCGCTCAACAAATATGTAGGAAAAATGGAGAAAGATCAGGTATACATTGAGGAAACCGTCGAATGACATCGCGCGCAATGCAGGTCACACAGCTTGAGTGAAATCTAAGTGAGAAGTGATGGGTGGATTGTCGGTGCGAGGGTGACATGGAGGAGGTCGTGTGAAAAGGAGATGAGAGATAGTGGGCAATTGTGGACATAGATGAAGAGGACGGTAGAAGATAGAAGAAAGTGGAGATGTGTTGTTGAAGCCCTATGTTCCACTCGGAACGTAAGGGAAGAATAATAATGATATATTCAAGGGAATAGTATTATCAATGTAACGCAATACGTAGCACACAGCCCAGTAAGTAGTTTCAAGATGCTAATGCACGTTTGATGTAAACAAGGTGACTGACTTTATGCTGATCACTTGGCTAAATGCATTTCTACCAAAGAGAAGTAAATATGACCAGTGAAGGAGTCACTATAAGTTGAAGACCTTAATTGTTCAATTAAGGTAGTAGTAGTATATGGGGATAGTATAGCAGACACAATTCAACAGGAGAAAACAACCAACTGATAAGACACTGAAACTGACTCATTGATAAATAACGCAACCTAAATATAACATTCTTCATGAAAATTCTACTAAATTATTCGATTTTAAGTTTGAAAGTTTATTGGCATATGAGATACTGAGTAATACAAACATGAAAAAAAAATTTTTTTAATTAAATAAAATGCAGTCACACACTGACCTTATCCCTTGTTTTGAATGAGATAACTGCTAGTAGATAGAAATTTAAAAAAAAAAACAGCAAAGAAACAGGCTAAGACATATGATAAACAGTTAATTTAATCGATTCATTGCACATATGAGCTGGACTATAAAAAAAACTCTAATTGTTACTATATAAACAAATAAAGAACACAACATGTATGTATGTATGGTCAAAGTGAAAATTCACATTTCATTCTTACGGAATTTAGTGCACTTTTTAAGAAGAACATGTGTATTTCAAATGCAGTAAAAGTCTCTTTTTTTAATTCCAAATAAGTGTGAATAACAAATTGGTGAAAATCACAGCAGACAACAATAATGGTATGATAATGGAAAATGACAACAGAAATCTGCATCACGACAAGCTAGTGATCACTGTATTAACACCATACGTAAGTCTACCGATTAGGCTAAAAGACCCAGCAACTGATCAGGTGTTTGGTTAACTTCATACATTCAAGGTTTCATGCAAAGGTTATATATAATTGAAATATGTGCAACCGCTTGCACACCATTAGATGGCACCGACTTCAGTTATCATTACAGTAAATGGGAGAGGCACACTAAGGATTATCTCAGACAATCTAGATAAGACGACTGTATTTTAATAAAGATTTGAACTTTTATGGATAAAATACGTGCATAAACATTAATCAATAAATAAAGGTGATAAAATTTCCCTTAAATCTACAATATAGTGGTTATACTTCAATAACTACTCGAACTGTATCACTCATTATGCTGTTGTATAACTGACAGCTGATGGCTATGAATCTCTCTTACATGTTAGAAAATAGATGAAATCAGATAACGTTGTAAGCTTTCACATAGTGGACGACGTATCCCATTGCACGATACAGTTAATTGCAGAGTTACAATTTCTACCTTCTTTTAAGGGATAAATCTAATCACAGGAGTCAAAAAATAGCAACACAGAATTATCCATTAAGCCCTTCATTTCCTGTCAACTAAAATAAATATGTTCAAGCTCATCATTCTTTGTAGTAATCATAGCATGAAAAGTAGAAAAACTACTTACAACTGCCTTGTTTTCTTTGACAATCAATTCGAGATCTTGCGTGAATTCAGTGTGATCCCGCCACAGACCATTATCCTTCAGATATCCTCGGTGTAAAAATAAGCTAATTAACTGTACCAAGTCAAGAACAGCATAATGATCATTTTTATCTAGACCAAGAATACGTGGGAGCCATAGAGGTTCAGAAGACTCAGTCGGTCTCAGTGTAGCATCATTAAAATGAAAGAATCTGAATTGAAATATGTATTTTATGACAATCACAACCTGGAAGAAAATAATAAAGGAAGATTATGTAAGAGAAATGAATGTCAGTACATATAAGACAGTCAATAAAATCTTAAGTAGTAAAACACCCTCCAGTGAATTACATTAATGTTTAACTTGGAAAATGATGCATAGCTTTTATTAGTAAACACAATGATACGGAATCACAAAGGCTAACTAAACGAGGTTAAATCAACAATCTGACGGAGTGACAAAACGCCAAACTTGCAAAACTGATTAGAAGCATAATCACAATATTGCAAATGTATGCATAATACCTTACATATCCCCTCCTGTTAATATATATATATATATATATATTCCTTGGGTTCCAGGTACTACATAGGTCCTTAAGCTTTTGAAGGCTCAGTAACAGTGGTGATGATTTTACGGACTGGAGTTCCCGAATCCACACCCAACCTCTCCTAATTTCTAAGCTTGCTCCCCTCTAGTAAACTAGACGAGGTTATGGGCGCGTCGGTAGCTATATCGAACGCTGTCATTCCACGTGGTTGACAAGCATTATAATATTAAACCAACGACGTACATTTTGAAAAAAACTCAAGGCAGCAAAACATAATTTCAGAAACCATTGCATTCAAGTGTTAAAATAGTATTCAGTGTACAATTCATCACTTGTTCACACCATTAAGTAAGGCGGATTCTAACGATGTGAACACTACTTTGAGTAAAGGTTAATGGCCTCCAGATAACGACAAGTTGTTAAACAATTCATAAATGGTTCACTTTTTACGGTTGGAATCTAGTAAAACTCTGAATTGCTCACATATTTATACTGCTGTCTGATCTGCGGGTACGGATTTTAAATGCCTAAAAAATTATAACATCACTAGCAGAGTTTTAGATCAATAGTTTAGTTGATTGGTTATTCAAATGAAAAGACCACGGAAGAAAGCAAAATATGATATATAGGTTACAACATAATCACATGGGGTCTGCAAAAAGTGCTTACTTCAGTATAGGTGATCAGAAATATCCAAAATGTTTTTGTTGGACGAGGTACAGATAACATACCCCAGAGGAGTACCATTAAAGGATAAGGTAGAGACAATAATGACGCAGAACGCATATGATTTAGTATAAGCAGAAAATAACAAAATAATTCTGAATAAACTATAGCCAAATTGCCAACAGCTATTAGAAGAAGAAATGCATACGAACGTGACTGACGAAAAGCTTTCTCACGTTCATGATCCTGATGATCTATATTTTCTAAAGAATGACTTCGCACCAAAGAGTCTGAAGTTCGACTCAAGTGTTTATTATTCTGTGAATCAGATATATCGAACTGCCGATTGGAAAGAGGTAAATGACGTTCAGGTGTTGTAGATATGATTTCTAGCACAGCTGCTGCCAACTGAACTCTAAAAAAAAAGATGTAATCAAAGGGTAAGGTACTTTCACCAAAACAATTACATCAAAGGAATAAAAAGATGAACTAACAAAGAACAAACATGTAGAACAATTTTCAATGTACGATACCCACTCTTTATCCACAGTGTCTGAGGAAACATATCTAGGGCATTTTGAAATCATCTTATTTGATAGAAATTTACAATATTTCATTTTTGAGCTAATATAACGTTTAAGCATCCAAAATTTGTTAAATCTTCTCTGTTTTGAATTACTACTTGATATATAAGTCATTGACTCAGTGTCACTTTGAAGAGCGAGACATGAATGTACACTATCCTTTTCTAAATACTGATTGCACTTTTGTGTTTTCAAATTTGGTGACACTGTACATTCGTAATTATTCAAAGGTATGAATTCAAATCCATTCTGAGAAGTGTTAACATACGACGGCTGAAATGAATACGGCGTATCTGTAACATTTTTTATCCAATAATGAGATGATTCGCTAGATTCGAATAAAAACGGCAAACGTCAAGTTAAATAGTAATTTATAATATATATGTACAAAATTCCACTATGAAAAAAAAAACTTTCAATCTGTTGATGGATCAATCACAAACCCGTTTCTCTTAGTGTCAGTCTTCGCCACTGAAAATCCTTGTGATCTCAGATTCGACAGAGTTCTGAAAAATCCACCAAAGATTATAATCTAGCCTAATATATATAGAGTTTTAGTCTTCAGATTTAAAACACGCTTACAAAATCCTTGAGCTTACTTCTTGAAAAAGTTATCAGTCTAAGAGAATTGAGGTTTTTCAATTGCATGACCAATAAGCAACCGTCAAAAACCATTGTATCTTTCAGTTTATGCATCTATCTCCGAAGACTCATTTATCAAAATATGCACTTGCATTTTTATTAATTCTAAAGTTACGCTTTAGTCATATCATGCAAAACAACCATTAAATATATAAATTACATAACGGTTACACGACAAACATAAAAGATGTACCTTGATTGTTCACTGGTAAATGGAATGTTTGAGATTACTCTTCGCTTGACTAAACGTTTTTCTTGATCGATCGTCCTGCGAATACGTCGATACTGACGTGTTAAACCATTTAAAAATCTTATTAAACTGTCCACAGAACTTAAGAAAAACATATATGCTATTAAACAGGATGCTTTGAACTTGCTCCAACAACTTTCAGCATCTAAAAGACAAAAAAGCGATAATCACAACAATGAAACAAAAGTAATGATATATGCATACATAAAATCATACTCCGTATTTGTCCAAATAATTGGTTAATTCGCATTTCAGGTTTTAATATATATATATATATATATATATATATATATATATATATATGAAATGAGTAGGGTAAAAGCCTAAGTCAAAAATGCCTGAAATATTGATACAAAAGATATGCAAAACAACTGGACAAGAGTTAGTTCACTTTATTGTACGATCCTTTTCCCTGAAAACTGAAATGTTCAGATGACAAGAGATAATACGGTGTCACCAAAATATGATGAAAATGTGAAAATAATACATTCCGTAGCGTAAAACACCTAGTAAATAAAAATCACTCACACTGATCAACAGTGATTCCTAGTTAAACTAACGTGACCTAAATTAAGGCTAAAGTTAAGCTCACCATGTCCAAAGTACAAAGAGTTGAATCAATATAAATAAACAAAACAAACTAAAGAAATAACCAAATTTATCAGACAATACAGTGTCAAAGTTCTAATTATTTTTCTAAGATTTAAGAAGCATGAGGGCACAATACATTACAAAAGAAATTCCCGAAGATATAAAAGCAAGTATGGAAAGTATAATGCTAATAGGTTAGTGGATTACGAACACCGAAAAATATCACTGCTACCACTGTAGTCACGTGCGCATGCTAACCATCGTCCCCGACGGGCATTACTAGCTGATATAGGTGCAGGCTGGAAAAGAGTAAGTGGTGGCCAAACAAAAACATGGCCTCATCAATCCATGAAATCCTTGACAGTTAAACTGAGTCAAGTAGGGAGATGCAGACTTCCGGGTTGGGGTCCTCGGGACTCTAAGAATCAATGGCTGGAGACAATAGGTGACATGGCTCAAAATCGTTGTCAATGGCGCAGATGTATTCAGTCTCTTTAACCTTCATACTCCTTTCTACCATTACTCATTCTGTTTCACTCTTATACTTGTCAAAACTCTATTGATTCTCTTCACTCATTTTCTTGTCTACCTTTGTGTGCTATTTGGGACGTGGCAACTCGAACTGCTGCACTTCGGTGCCAAGTTCTATGTTGAATCCAGACAGACAGACAGACTGCTACCACTGATTTACTAAAGTCCAAGTATGCATATGGCGATAACATTCACATAATCCTCTTGATAAAAAACACACTACTTGCAATGATAACAGCTTTTAAGACGGATGAGGAGCATTTAACATATGGATATCAATTAACAGTAAAATACTTCAAAGGGGAAATTGTTTTCATGAGACAGTTCAGATTCTTTAACTACTCGTGGTTAAATTAAAGCAAAAAGAAAAATACTTACGTTCATGAACCGAATGCCTACGTATCTTTTCTTCTAGATTAGTGCACTGATTGTCATTGATATCAACTAAATCATTATCATCATTAAAATGTTTAGTATCTGGATTGTCTCTTTTCTGATTTAAAATACCAGCTGGTTCAAAGTCCGTCGTCTGTTTAGAACTATTGCACACAGAAGAATGAAGCTTTTGAGTGGAATCCCATTTTCTTCTTGTGTTCTCAGAGGTTCGGTAACCAGGTTTATCTTTAAAGTAAAATTTCGTCTCTTCACTACCCCAAGTTTTACACTGTGATAAGTCATTTTCTGGTGGTGGTGAAACCAAAGGATGAATAGAACTTCTACCAGGTTTAAGTGCCAACAAAGGAATACTTTCACTATGATGCTCTTTTCTGCTTTTTAGATGACTAGTTCCTGGAATTAGCGGTTTACTTGGATTGTCCTCTGAAGTAATAACGTAAAAATGTGCGTTAGGATCTGCTTCTTCGTCAACCTGTGGAGAATTAGACTGTTTAAGCAATTTCCTTGAAAAGTGGACTCCAGTTGGCTTCAATCCATAATAAATGTCAGGTACACTTAATTTCTTTAAGCCTGATTTTGATGGTGGATAACAACTCCTTTTAACCAATTCATATGGGGTAAGTTGAGGTGTATCTTTCGAAGACTCATGCTCCAGTGTATATTCATTGACATGCTGCATACTTGAAGACTGAAAATACAATAATTCAAAGAATTAAACACAAATATATTTCTTCTAAATGAGAATTTTCATAAGATTTCTTTTGTATTGAGTATTATAAAGATTTGTGAAGTACTGATAGTGCTATCGATTAGCCCTAGCAAACGTAGTATAGTATGACTAATTGCCCAGTCAGTCGGTCTACTACTTGACTTGTAGGCACTGATATCAAAACGTGAGTCAGAAAGACTCGGTTATTAAGTAATGAGCAGTATATTTGAACAGAATAAAAAGTTAAGATACTTTAGGGAAGAAGGATTTAGAACTTATCTGCCTAGTGTATGGCTTAACTACGGACTCAGGGACTATGCGTGCTAACATCACAAGGAAGGAGTATGAAACGGCGTTTGACTCCATTTGGATGTGAACCTTAAAGCATCTGTAGGCGGACAAGACGTTTATTTAGTTAACACCAAGTTGATTCGGTTCGATCTATCAATTTTAGCCTTAGGTTCACCTTGGTCCCGTGGAAGATGCCCTACAGACATATGGACTGAATAAAAAAAATCCAATATAATCGGTATTATTTCAGAAATAATTTCAATAAATGAATATCGATTTAATATTAACATGAAAATTTCTGTCTTATTAATATTACTGTCATTATTAATGAACCTCCATTTGATGGAAATCATAATATGAATGAATGCTGTTACAATGAATAAGTTAAACAGTTTTGATGATAAAGTACTCAAAATGCAAGAACATAATTTGTGAAACAAGAGTATTACTCAGTTGCCTAACTAAAGACGTACAGTTAAAATAAGAAAAAATTGATGAGATACAAATTATTAAACACGATATTTCACAAAAACAGATCCGTATTTTATTTAAATAGAACAAAATGAGAAATATTTTTGAGTGAGATCAAAGATAAGCGTCAATGAGTAGTAGAATTGGTGTTGGCAACTTTTGGTATCCTCTTCTTTTGTGTACATTTCAATATAATCCACAATAGAGAAAAAGGCAGTTCACCTTCTATGAACAAATTTTATAGTAATGCAAACATAACCATTCAAAAATGATTAATGGATTAGCTCTTCAGTATTCCTATCAAAAATGTTTTGAAAGACAAATTGATGTTGAGATAGTATCATATCGAAAAGTTGAAAAAAGTTAACTTACGGATGGCAATACACCAACAACTGTACTGTCTTGTCCACTAGGTGGTATACGAGATTGACACATATCAACCTGTTCTCGTTGACGTAAACCCTGAGAGTGGGCATGTAAACTCCGTCTATACTGTTTCACAGCTGAAAGAGCACCAAGTTCCATAGCCCGATTTAACAACTGAATAGGATTCAGTCTAGTATTCGGAGTTGATGGAGGGTTAGCATCATCTTCTTCGTCGTCGCTGTCTCTATCTGCTTCTTGACCATCGTCGAAATACGGATAACTGAAATTATTCTTACCATTACTGAGTGGATCATGAGATTGTGGTGATGCAATGACTACATCAATAGGATTTTCGCCAGAATCTGTTACTGTTAAAACTTTCTCAGAATTCCCGTCAATACTAAGATTCATATCTGATGCTTTAGTTATACGTGGTGGAGACTGAATATAAGAAGTACTTGGCGTAGCACTTGACCCACGAACCTAAAAGAAAAAGAAAATGGGTACATACAATAACAACAGACAGTTTTATGCATTAAAATGAAATGAGATAAGTAGTTTTCGAAGTACGGGAATTACATAAATTTCATATCATTGAATACAGCAACCAAAAACGCACCACAAGACCATATATACTGTAAAATATAAACTTTGCAATATCTAAGAAGAAGATTTAGACCTATTTAATTTGTCCTATTAGTTACGTGCATCATGACTCGTAAACCGCAATTTACGTAACATCATTACGCTTTTGGCACACAAGCATCTTTTGATTAAGCTACAAAGTGTCAGGAATATACTACAAAAACATTTTAGAACAGCTAAACGCGCTTCCTTTCATAAGTGTGAAAATGCAACAAGCACTCGTAAATGTTAGTTCACAATTATAGCAGCGAAACGTATAATACAGCATCTAGAATCTTATGTCTATATATTTTAGTTAGAACTCAGTTATCCAGAACAGATATATCATATCCTGAACTACGAGTCATTTATTGTAATCGGGTTAAAAATAATCTCAGCTAACTGTAAACTCGTAAGGCTCGAAAGTTTAGTGAGTTATCTAACTGATTTGATTTAAAGTCGATATTAAAAAAGAGAAAATAAGACAGGTTCCAATAAGTGACATGGTAGGGCATGAATGAATTCTTATCTTCACACACACACACACACACGTCCCCCTTAAATTGTTTCAATATGGCTAAAATTCCATGGCATCTGCTAAGCAAGACCAATTTTCTACTTCACGCGGTGTTGAATTTTCCCAAGAGAGTTTAACTATTAGAATTGTAAGTTAGAAAGTCCAATTAGGGTAATAAGTAATTGCGTCATTTGTCCATTATCTCAATCAAGTCACCGGTCAAAATTAGTTAACAACAGTATTGAATTATATGACACAAGAACTCTCTGTACTTGGTCAAATAAAATATTCGCAAGCATGCTTATACATGAACAAGGAAAACTTAAAAATAACAAACCTTTGGAGGACTAGATCTAGACAACGATAACTTTGTTGGTCTTCGGTGATTTCGGTTAGTATTTTGAACGAGAGTAAACTTTTCCGGACTACTAGGACGATCCTTACTAGGAGATATAGCTTCAGATGCTGAAAATAATCGCCGGTGAGTTTCATAAGGTCGATGCCGAGAATGACCATTTTGATCCCGGCGTTCATTGGTCCGATGAATAAGTTGTTCATTAAACGGTGATGGGGATGTCTGCACAGAACGTAGGAGTGAGGTTTTAGAAGCAAATGTATCTGGTTCGTTTGTTTCTATGGGTACAACGGAGTTCACATTTTTCTGATGTCCAACAAAGTGCCGTCGTAAAAATTCAGGATGAGAGCGCATTCGACGATGGCCTAAAACAGGTCCTGGATGGGTTAAATCTCGAAGAGCGTCAGTAAGCAAGGGTGTTTCCTGATGACTTTCTGACTCAAAAGCAATCCGGCCATGAGAGCTAGGACGAGCCTGATGGTGTTCTTTCCTACAAAGAAAATAGCAATAGAATTCAGATGTATGTGGGAATAGTGAAGAATTCACATGTCGTTGGAATAATTCAATGGTAATTATAATATCATAGGGAAATGTCAAACTTAATAGAATTCGCATTTGTTGAATTTCAGTTTTGTATTTCCTGTTGACTGATCATATTGGACCGAAATGTTCGGTCTCTGTTGACAATTTGGCTCCTAGTACGGATGATTTAACGATGCCTGAGGATTAACAAGTTTTGGTCCACTGCTAGTCACCATTCACCAAACAATAGCATTAATGGAATTCTGTTGAATGTTATCTTTGTTGGTACATCTTGACACCTGTCAGGTTCACTATCTCTTACTTAAATGATAGTGAAGGGGAGGGCAGCTTATACCTATCATTTTGTTAAACTGTACGGTTACATGTAAAAACAGAATCAAAAGTATCTCGCTTGTCTGACTTTCAAATAAGACAAAATGAAGGCTTTAACTCTCTCACTGGAATTCATTATCAGATAAGCACTACGAAGACGCAGCTTAAGGCATTAAAAATAATTGGCTAATGAAAGACATACCAACAAGGTCATTTTCGTCACAAACTCACATCAGTTTGAGAACCGTTGAAAAGAGTGAAGGTTACGAACAATTCATCAGTTAGCCAGTAGATCGGAACTCGATGATCTAATATTTGAAAATAATCCTCTTATTATTAGAGACTACGGAAAAAATTTCTCGAAGCTCTATTGACAGTTATGACTTATGGAGTCCACTGAGGCTAACGTAAAGTAAAATACTTGCAGATCACTTCTGGTATGAGTAAAGTTATATCACAAATAGACCAAAAGTTAAAAACCATGGGTCGTTGGATCTCAACTCAATACTTAATTGGTAGAGTACTCGCCTTATAACCTGGCATTCTGAGGTCGGTCTCATTTTCTGGGTTCAATTAGCATTGCTGAACAGTCCATAACTGAGATGAAACAGTGATCAAATGCTCCGATGATTTCCTTTACACATCCGTTCACAGTCAGATTGTCACACATTCAGAATTCGATAGTGAATTTTAATTACTCAAACACAAAATAAAAACGAAAAAACGCCTGCTCAATGTTTAAGACTATATTTCGCGACTGGAGTGAAATAAGCTCAGTAGAAGACTATTCTTTTCTCATCAAAATTAAATGAATTTTACAAATAGTGGTAAACTATAGCTATTTCAAGCAGAATACATCTATGGTACAGGCACCAAATGGTGATGGTGTAATACATTCCATAGAAAAAGTTACAAATTGCTATAGAAAAACTGCTTCAATCAGGCTACTTTAACATCACTAAACAATCGATAAACCGCTTATACTCTACACTACACGAACAAAAGGAGAGAATAATTTAATGAAGTGACAAGCGAAATAATTAAAGAAGATATACACCGAAGCGTAATTTTGATGTATATAAACCAAAACGAACGATTTAGAAAAATAAAACTCATCTGCTTTTCTCTAAAGAACCATTCAAACAACAACAAAAGCTTTTATGCAAAGTTCACCATACACTGAAGGGGTTTCACATGATTCATCTCCTTCACCTAATCCGACTATAAAGGTATTTATCACACATGGAGCTTGAGTTGATGGTACACTTATTAAAGTTGAATGTGTCTGACTCAGGGTTTTCGCAGTCCGAAGGCATCCTCCGAGATGTTTTTTCAGTAATTAGCGCAGAAGAAAGCCAACCTCCCACTCAACTATTCAGAATGTGTACAAGATAAGTTGACTTGAAGACAAATGACAAAACACAGTGTTGAGTACTTTGGCTCAAGCAATCACACTGTAGAATTGTATCGACACTGATGAATGAACATCTAGGTCGAAAAGTAGTTCGTGTACACTGAAGTTTCAAACAGGACAAAACCAAACGACTCAACATTATTCATACAGGTTAGTCCTTAATATGCTGAAGTCAACTAAATCAATATAGTTGAAATATGACACCAAAAAGTTAGAAAGTGGTTTGCTTATTGAATAAAATCCGAATTTGAAAAAGTCACATTACTCCAGAAAATAAAAATTAAGTTCTGGGAAAAATCTCTTGAAATTCTAACTTTGCAATTTTAAAAATATACTAACCTAATAGTACTATAGGGATCGGTGTAATTAGAAAGGATGCTTGAGACATTTGGATCAGCACTAGGCCAAACATCTCGTAGGTAATTCTTTCCCCTGGGTGCCAAAGTAACTTGAGATTTGGATGAACGGTTGTTAATAGTAGGAATGTTTGATTTCGCAGTTTGTCTTTCATTATCTGCACCAACAGATAATTTCGGCAACTTGAAATTACTTTTACTTTCACGTAAGCGTGTCACAGGTGGTGGTGGGCTGTCATTCCTCTCAGAATGATCACTGTCGTGCGTAGAAGTATGCGTTTCACGAATCACAAAATTATCATCTTCTTCTGGATCACCCTCAAAAAGATAATAATCTCCAGAACGAAGCACTATAAAGACAATCGAATTGAATTTTTTAGTTTTAAAAACACCAAAACACAGTAGGTCTGAAGTCAGTTTATTGATAAAATACATAAATCTGGTAAAAGCCTTCCCAAGAGGTATTCACAAACGCTTTTAAATAGTTTATATTGAATTCAGTATCCACATGAATACTGAAACTGCACAAAGTAAAGCTGGTGTTTTTAGCAATAAATTTTGGTTAAAATTCTCACAGTGAAATAAGCCCCATTTGATAACAGGTATATATATGGATATCCTACCACATATATATATACTATTCATGTATGTTTTGTAGAAATCTTCCTTTTCATGTATTGGTTTTGCAGTGATTTTGTCTGATTGGTTGGAAGATTTCATCATGAGCTGGCATGAGTTAGAGAACCACTGGAAAACCTACAAGGACTACAAGATAGTTGTTTCGTCCAAGTTTGGGACTCTTCATAAGTACGCACCGACTGGGGTTCGAACCAAAACTAGGACGAAACAGCTGTCCAGTAGTCCCAGGTTATCCAATGGTTCCTTAACTGATGTCAGCTCATGATGAAGTTTTCCAACAAATGTCGCTTTATTGTCTTAGTAACCTATATTTTTGCAATCAAATTATATCCCCATCAATTTACTCGACTAACGTTCATTAGTGAGGTATACATTCGAACTCTGTGCCTCATTATCGAGATCTGGTCAGCTTTTTGCTGTTTGAGTATTCTGTAGGTGTTGCACAGAAAATACATAAGGTCGATAAAAGGTGGTATATTCGTACGTAGGCCAGTGATGTTATTTTACTCAAGGGTAAATCTTTGCTTCACTTACCTTTACTCGCAGTTTAGATTGGTTAAATTTCTTATTATGCTGTGGCTTACCTTTTGTGGTAGTCTACAGAAGTATTTTAAATTTTAAGTTAACCCTAAGGGCATAAGCATTAATTACCACTACTTTAAAGAAAAAAATTATTCAGATAGATATAACTGTGTACTGGTCAAACTACAGCAATAGTTATTTCGCACGTATCATGGTCCTGTTTGTCCTTGTGGATATCGTTTTTTCTTACAAATGACAATTCATTAATGGTCAAAACCGGATTTTTATATAATATGTACACTGATGAATAACTGTTCTGTATTCTGATATCAGTTCAGTGAAACCTTGTGAGAGTGATAAAGTTTTCACTTTGAGCTATGATCACTCAACCACAATGCCAATCCAACCAGTGCTATTGACAGACCAATTAGGTATCATTTCAGCTTTAAAGATCAAATAACCAATCAGTTGCGCCGTAGTAATAAAGATAGTTCCAACATTCACAACTATATATATATATATATATATATATATATATATATATATATGGAAATCGATGCTGTACTTTAAACTTTGGTTAACAATGTGAACACTGCAAGCAGAATGCACAAAAAATTAATTTAAGCGACAAGTAATATTTAGATTATCTATCCAGTGCTACTACACCAGTAAACACAGTAGCATTTCATTCCTTATAGAAATAACCATTAGGAATAGATAGTATTCGTGCTCATTTTTCAAAACTCTGCACACAATGAACACAGCCTAGTGAGCAATAAAGTTTTTAGTGTTAGAATTAAGAAAATATAATGATCGCAGTATGCTATAATACAAGTACATACATGAATGAATGAATGAACTGATTTCAAAGATTTAAAAAGTATACTTGGTAAAATTCTTACTGATATAATGCTCTGTAACATTAGCATTACTACGTCCAAATGCCTCTTGACGTTGTTGTATACGATTAATTTTTTCTTGAACCTTCGCCAAATTATACTGTTCCTCCATCGCTTGTTCATAAATAGCCAACATTAATTTTCGATTGATGAGATAAGCCCCACTAAAATGAGAGAGAGAGAGAAACGAGACGAATGTAATAACTGAAAACATGAACAAGATTTTGTAACACTGTTTATCAACGATTAGAGCAAAGGCAAAAAATAATAATAATTAAATTCTACATGAATGATTGTTATGCTCATGCGAATCCACAGTATACACATTAGAACTCACCGAGAGGCAAATTGACTTTGAACTTGTAAATCCAGGAATACATGACTAAAACTATGAGATGTGAAAACCTTTCGTTGAAATATGATAAATATAAAGCATATTACATCCCAGTGCAAACCACTTGATACAGCAGCACAAGATGTTTCATGCCCAACTAAAAACAGATAACAGAAAAACAAATGCAATACATAAAGATAAAAACCACTTCAAAGCCCAAATATAATTCACAGGAAAGATTGCTAATATATGCATTGAGAGCATGTAGTGTGAACGAGTTAACAAGTAAATGGAATCTAAACAGCAATTCAGCTGTAGCTTATAGTGTTAGTAAATCGTCAAATAATAAACTGAATAACGTTACCATAGAAGTATTAACCATGAATGAAAGGTATGCACTGAAAAACATCTGAAACTATAATGTCATAATATTGACAAAGTCAGGAAAAAAGATTTTTTAAAGAACATCGACTAACGCAGGTGTATTGGAGGTGGCGGCACACAGTAAGAGTGATTATGTTTAACTGTTAACACATCGATTAAAATAATATTTATTCGCCTCCTAATACAATTATTTTATATCCTCCGTATTGAATGTATGAAGCATACAAAAATCCATATATCCAATGGACAAGAATCCTATCTTTGATTGGACACTAGTCAGTGACTAGTGCAGTGTGTCTAGTCCCTTGTTTGGTGCAGACTGAATTCTGTCAGTCAGGTTTGCAACATGGCCACCATCATCACACTAGTTACTAGTGTCCAATCAAAGTATCGAATAGTGTCATACAGGAGGTCAATTGCGAGTCCGAATAGCTCAGTGGTAACGTCTCTGACTGTAGTACTGGGTAACACAGGTTCGAATCTCAGAAGGGACATGATTTCCTTCAAGGTTGCAGATACGCCTCGCTGATGAGTGCCAACTAGCACGAAACCTAGGTCCAAGGCTTCTTGCCGATTGCCTCCAACCATCTAATAACAAGCATGGTATCTTTTGACTGCAAAGTCAGTGGAGCAAATGGGATGGCTGAAGTAAATAGGTAATACATCCATACATTAAGATCATTTATCCATAGGCTTTAAATTATTTTCTTACGAAATCCTCATATATTAAAGTCAATAGTAGCTAACATACGTGGTAGGTTGAAATGATTCCATGACATAGGATTCATACACTGAACACCGAACAGCTGAATAAGCCAACATCGCTCAGCCATACGAGACCAATAAACGCAACCCATGAGTTGAAGACTACACTTCGCGAGAATAACACAAAAATTATATCCAATAATCACATTCCACCTGCAAAGTTAAAAAAATAAATAAATAGTTACTTCCTACGTACGTTAAAATCCCATTAAACTGAACCCATAATGACACCACTGTGAAATTATATTGCAGTAAAGTGATTCAAATAATTTTCATTACTTGTGGCGGGAAATGTAACGAAACTCAGTCAATATAGCTTGATGTTACTCTTCGAATACAGAAACAAACTTTTTTTATCTAGCTATCTTGACATTTGATGACTATCAGTCAGGGCGAATGGTAGTTTAGCTTAGGTCATATTGTTTTGTTTAGGAACACAAAAAATACTTAAAAATCTCTTGAGAATCTTGTAAACTAGGATGATCAACGACCTACATACACAATTCTAATGTAACTGTATCAAATCCTCATGCATAAACAAGTATCTCAGGTAATCCAGTCAATAATTCATTACATAAACATTTTTAGCCCAGGTCACAATGCCTTGTCTTTCATATCAGGATGATGGAAATGGCATTTCATTGGCTCATAAAGTTAGGAGTAGTCATATAAAGAGATTGCAGAAAACATTTGGGAAATAGTATAAGCATCAGTAAGAAGGCAAGGAGGTGAAGAAGGTGCGTGATAAACAGATGTGGTTTGTGTGCATATGAGTGTGTGTGGGCGGCTCCTACTTCCTGGCGACCACCCACATTCTGGAAGTTGACTTCCTCTTCAAACAGTAAAAGCGAAAAAAGCATTAGTGTTGCGCGACCGTGAAGCACAGAGCATAACTGCTTGAGGTTGGCCAGTCAGGACCTGTTTGTAGTAGTTAAAAAAAGTTGCAATAGTAATTTACACCTTCCTGTTGATTAAGTACAGCCATGGGGTAAGTCCAGTTGCACGACTTTTACGATGACCTTTCTTAAATCCTATTCATCATAGTGGCAATACACTATAGTTGGTTTTCTGGTTGCGATTACATCCCTATCCGCAAGGAGTAGGAATTCGCCCACAGAAACCCTATCATAGTAGAATCAGTCTATATAATGATGTTGATGCCGATGCTTTAAAACTGATTCTCTGGCTGGAAAACATGAAAAACATTATATTGAAAAATATATTCCATGATTTGAAAACGGATAGCTAAGAACTGTCTGAATACGACAGATGTTAGTAGAAAGAAGTCAAGAACTAACCAAATATACTGACAATCCGTTTTATAAATAAAAATGCTTTACGTTATGAAATAAAAGATGACTCAGAACACTCGTGTAACCAAAAGTCATTCGGGACTTACGAATTGATCAAGTTAGTCCGTTTTCTTAGCATCACATTCAAACCCATCCATAGATAAATAAAACTTATGATCATATAGCCAAGGCAAAATAGTGTAATCCAAACAACTCCGGTAACGAGGACAACAGCCAAGCTGACCCAGTAAGACCAATAGAAGATCAGATGACGCAAATAATCTAAGTAAGATCTATGTAAAGGGTAAAAAGCATGGAAAAACATAACACAGTCACGATAGTCAAAAGATAAAATGATAAGCTTTGAATCAAAGTTGTTGACTTGGATAATTATGTTCTTTGAAGCATTCTACACAATTGAAGGAAAACCCAATAATGTGATAAAAAGGTGCATGGTGTTTAGTGCAACTGTAGGTCGGTGATGAACCAACTTCTATGCTTGACAATTATAGAGAATCATATAAAATCACAGAATGTGGTTTATGAAAGGTCAATACACCAAGCTATTATCGTTCAACTGTTACCGATTATCCGTTCCTACAGAAAATTGTCTAGACGAGCATAACGCTCCACTTCAGCGGGTAAACCATCAAAAATTAATCTAACACAAAAGGATACTAAGTATAGAAAAGAACAGAAGAACTACGCATATAACAAAGTGCAGAACTATTCATAGTGTAGGAAAGCTATGTCAAGAAACGAAAGCCACACTGGGATGAACTGAAGGAATGGCTAGGTAAGAAAGAAAGACTCACCAGCTAGGTTATTTGGGAAAACGAAAAAAAGTGAATGAGTAATCAACAAACAATCTCAAACATCATCACCAGTAGTAGCGATATAGTTATGATCTTACAAGATTTATTCACTAGCCTATTATATTTTTTTTAATTTACGAGGGAGATAACGTGTACAACTTTTGAATAGAATCATATCAATATGAACAGTGTGACTGTATGTTAGCTGAAATGTTCTTATTAACATTTAATTCGTAAAAATTCGGCATAGTTTGAACCTTAAATAAGAGTTAAAGTTTGTACTCTTTCACGTGATATTCAAAGATATCGATCAACCGATGAGTTCATGAACTTATTTACTAAAATATTAATTGTTTAAGTGCTTTTGTCATTCACTTGTCCATATGACTTTTTTAACATTCACAGGAATGACAGATTAAATGATGATTGTTAGATTTTATAAATTGATATTAATATAACATGCAATAGTATATTGTAAATGCAATAAAAGTTATTCCGGACTTAAGCAAGTTGATCAAGAATTGAAGATGTCACTTTGAAACTTAATCAATATAGGTATTAAACACACATATACACATTTACGTCCGATAAAAGTTACCTTTCACTTTACAATGAGCGTTAGTCGTGTACAGAATTGGATGCTAGAACTTCCATTTGCAAAAGAGCAATGAAAATCGAACTATGCATACACCATATTAGACAAATCACATTCAAACTGAGATAATGGTAAATTAAGACCAAAAGTGCATAATCTGATTAGTGTTTCTTTCGCTTACTCTTTAGTACTGACGAAATCACGATCTCCTTCTTTGGGTAACTCGTCACTTAAAATTGGACGGTTAGAACCACCACCATGAATTTCTGCATCAGGTCGCTGTTCAACTTTGAAGACACGATATTGTAAAGCCACTGCAACAAACTGGAAGAAATCCGCTGAGCAAAAAAAGGAAAGTAAAACACGTGTAGAAATTAGCCAAACCAAAGCCATCACGGAAATCAAAGTACCTATCTATAAGTAATATTTTAATGCATTATATTGGAAATTTATCATTCTACGTAATGAGAAACGAAACCCACGACAAACTAATATGCTTAAGCATTAATTGTGACAGAGTATTATATTTTAAGCAAGAACACTGACGACGAAAATCACGCCAAAATGGGTTTATTAATAAATACACTTCAGGGATTTATACTACAAACCACCTTCAGATGTACTGAACGTTCATCTTACTAAGAATAGAAACCCTTCCTAGACGGAAAATATGACTCTTTATGAATACTTCGTGGGCGTCTCAACAGAAATGTGAAAAGTTTTAGAAACAAAAGACTGTAAAAAATTGCATACCTGTCAATTTATGAGCAGATGGTGCACCAAATTCGTTTGGTAAGTACAGCCATTGCAAAAGATTATTGATCTCCACTGAATCCGTATACCAAGGATAATCTAAGAAAGAAAAGTAATGAAAATGACAACTAGAAAATAGTACGAATTAGCAGAAGTGGTCCTAAGTAATCGCTTCCGTTAGACTTAAAAAGTAGCCCATTGAGAGTTGCAGATAACTGGCTTAGACATTTGTCCATAATCCATAGTTTGGAAAAGTATTCAAGTTGTTTATCAACAGCCTCAAAAGCCTGGTTAACAAATATGCAAGCTGACAGCGTACTGAGCTTTTCAGATTTCCAGCCTCAAGTTAGTACATGTATTTGAGAAAAAATTATAAATTGAATTAATAAGTGAATGCAATGCACAGTTTGGGTGGATGTGTCATTCTGTTTTGTAATTTAACCTTATTACCATTACAAACACTTCTATCCAGCCACATTCCATCTCTAGAGTCCTAAAACACACTTCTAGTCATATATTAAAGTGTTTAACGCTAAAACATTATGACATATAGGTCAACGAACTTGATTGTCTTATCGATCCCTCGCCCAAACAAGTACATGGTTTAGTACAACCGCTTACTGGAGGTTACTTACTCATATGCTCCTGGCAGTCAGATCAGTGCATAAGATAAGCACACCGTTAGATGACATATATGACAGACTACCTTTTTTCCCACAAAGGAAATGCATTAGAAGCAGAATTATGCCAGAAAAAACTACACGGAGTCACATTATCAATCTATAAAATCTCTAAATATGTCGTAATTAGGTTTGCGAGAAGCATGAAATTAACACCCTAATATTTTAAAAGTTATGGATAGGATTTTATCTCTGATTCATTAAAACACTATACCTTATAAACATCATATATATATATATATATATATATATATTCCCCCTATTTACCTTCATTTGATTATGCCTTGAGACATTTGACCAAAGCTGAGACCAATTTTACCCTTATGTCTACCCTTTGGGTTTTCATGTCGATTCGTCCATATGAAGTATAGTGCTTTGGATCACAATGGCAGTGTCATTTTCTACTTCTGTGGATTTCACATCCATGCTATTAGGAATTATCAAAACTCCAAAACAGATTGAGTCGAAAACTTACCAGTGAGTCAGACAACTTAAACGACACAAAGCAGTAGAATCGCCGGTGACAATGGATAATGCAATTGCAAGATCAGTAAAAACGCGAGAAACTAGATTCAAACGCAGAAGATGAATAGCAAATGTCCCCAAATCGAAAACTGATGACTATGGACAGAGAGATCGCAGCTCAGAACTAGAGTTTTTGACGACACCTGCCATGAAATTATACAACAGAATAGAAAACTACTACTTTGGCTCACAAAACGAAAGGGAAAAATGAAAATTGAAGAACTAGACTTACTCAGACATAGGCCAGGTGGTAAACCAACACATAAAGCATACTGGATTGGAATAAGTGCAGCTAGTATGACCATGTAAGAAGTCCACAGACGTGCACACAATCGCCTCGGGGTAAATAAAAACACCAACATAAGCATCAGATATAGCACACTGAAAGCGTCTACACGAGAACACGCAGTAACAACTGTGACACAATGACAGAGCTAAAAAAACAAACAAGAAAATATGACAATTTACAGAAATGTTCAAATAAGTAGGGAGCACTGTTTTTAGAGTATCTATAATACAGTAAACAATATAAACATAAACTGGATTGTCACTGGTGTTTAAACGATAAAAATATGTCGTTAATTATGTAACAATTATAACCAGATAAAGTAAAGGAAACCAAAGTATTATATCAAGAATGGAGAGACTGTATGTAATCATCCGTCCAAAAAGACTTTCACTTCCAAATCATTACGTACCGCAATATTACTTAAAGAAGATTCAAGTTTATACGAATTTATTCTCTTATAAAACAAAATTGACTTAAAGTCATATGACCCTCTAGTTCACTTCGTAGAAATACATTTAAAAAGCGCGAATCCTTTCTCACATGACAGATTGAAAGTCACTTCTTTTGATAAATTTCTAATGATTTCACGGTTTTTACAGCGTTTTCAAATTAGTTCCGAGTTAGGTTTTTAACTACCTGTACATAGATATAAATCAGATAAATGACAAACACTTGTCTTACTCGGAACCATCGTTTCGCCTGTTGTCCTCTACTGTCTTCAGATGTACTGGCGGAGACCACCAATGCATATGCACGGTTAACTAAATAAGCCAACACAGATGTGTGCCACTCCCAAACAACTATATGCAGTTTTCGTGACACAGTTATTGTTTTAATTGATTGATTCATTGTGAGATGATTTGTTTGGAAGTTTAAGTGAGTCTGAGTCGCAAAAACTAAATGAGCACAAAGATAGTGCACCAATGAGCTGTGAGACCAAATGTAATGTTACGAAAACATAATCAGTGCCCCCAAAAAAATATCAAAATTTGTACATCAAAACCTAAACCATGCTGTATAAATAATAAAACTGTTAATTAATGAAAAGCACTCGGTTGATTAATGAGAACTTGCAACTAGACAGAATCAATGGCAAAAACTTGAATGCATTCATTTAAAAATTTTTTTTAAACTAACCTCTAAGCCAAACTTATAAAAACCATAGTTAAAAGCAAATTTGACCACATTCAATAAGTCGTAACCCATTGAGTTGATTGTAACACCTGGGAATACAATCCCTTCATCTGGACGCTTGATTCGATCATTGTTATAGAATTGACGCTGTCTATAGGTTATGGCATGCCAAATAACAGTAACAACCATCAGTGCACCATAGGGCTATAAGAAAGATAGTTGTGAGTGAATATGAAGCACTAAAAAGTATCAAATTAAATTTGATACAAAAAACTGTACCATAACATCTAATGGCATGACAAAATCGTCTATGAAGAATGTTTTTATATCGGATCGGAGAGTTTTATGAATTCATAGGTTAAGTTTCAACAGCGAAAAGCTATTATCCCAGATCACACTTAGATCCATAAACGAACGCATAAATTACTCAATGAACAGTGAATGGTACAGATGATATAACAAAATTGTAAATTAGTTTTTCAAGCGTGTGCTTTGTTTTGTTTTTAAGAGTTTACAATCGGTTAGCAAGAATCTCTACAGTTGGCACGCATTAATATCACGCGACATATCAGCAGTCGCGAGGAAATCCAGATTCACTAAGTTTCAAGATTGTGTGAAGAGTACTAACATAATTCATGGAAGAAACTTTTTGGGTAATTAGTTCCCCGGTAATACTACACTGGAATTATTTTTCATGATCAAGTATATTATTTAATGAGGTCCAGACAGACGTAATACAAAGGGGGACTTCACTAACCGACAGAAATTAGGGAGCCACTAAAAAGGAAGCACAAAACAGATATTTCATTCTAGTTTGAGACTGTTCAGTATTATTAACTCATGACTGTGTAAAAGCGGTGAGCTCAAGATATCGGTATTAAACACCAGTACGTTACCATTCAATTACTGGGCCGAAATTCAATGACTAGTGATTCCTAAATTTTATCGGAACTCGACACAGTGCTACTGCCACCAAATGTGGTATCTACCTTGATGGACCCTACTAGTCATCTCATAAGACACTGACAGGTGCACTAGACGTTAAGTCATACAAATTTTAATAACTCGCTGTACATTTAGCAAGTTAGTTTGGTTTTGATTCATTAATACACTAATGCAAAGTTAGGTGCATATACCAATAAGGCCGTACTTAAAAACCAAACATATAAGACACTAGATAAACTAATTTAAACTGTTGAAGTCGTACTGATGATGACTTCAAAACAGGTAGGTAGGCGTCGCAGTAAAGAGCTACAAAATGCTTATTTTCCCACCAAAATTTGTATACGTCTCTACAGGGTTAACAAGTATTCTACGCTAAAAGTGAAAGAAAAAAATCCTATTATTGCCGCAGTGGTGCATTTTTAGCTTTAACCATTATTCACTACCTAAAAACTGCTGCTTCGCCATTTCAAGAAACTATTCAGGCACAAGTTAACAAAGGGAGATAAAACAATGAGGAGTTGAGTCTATAGCAGAAATGTATACAAAAGTACAAGTAGTTCTGAACACATTTTGTGTACACAGTTTTAGTAACTTTGATAATTTAGTAAACACCGTATTAAGAATGTCGCTAAGTCAATATTCATTGGGGTTATGGAATTAGGCACACGATGAAGCCATTTTTCTCACAACAAGACAATGCAGAAACAAAACATTGCTGGCTCGTATTTTAAATAGTGCTTCACATACTCATTAAAAAAGCATGCAGAATATTGATGAGTCTAATTCACAGCGAAAAAATCAGCTGACTTGAATGAATATATATAAGGAAAACTAGGATTGAAAAATTCATACAAAAGCGGTCTGTGCAAATCAGATCACCTCACATCACGCATCTAAACACCCATGGTGTTGCGTCAAGTGGACTGATGATATTATACTGAGAGACAATTCCATCAAAACATAGCACATGACAAGAATTTAAGTAAAAATAATTTAATATACACTAAAATCTCTCCTGGTTACACAAGCATCCCTTCACAGTTACTTCTGATATTGATTTTCAAATTATTCGAGACAATTTTCAATCGATAAAATTCTAATAAATCCTGGCACTCACCATGATATACTGACCACAATTTTCAACCTTCTTAAGACCAATCCATGCAGTTGGGTCCAACGCGGTTGTGTTGTCGTACTTGTAATTTAGAAATGGAAAAGAATTGCAGTAAACGCTTGAAATAATTTGCATCAAAAAATATTTAAAGGACAATAAGAGAACAACTATGAAGAATTGATCTCTTGTACGTACATGAAAAAAATTAATGCAGATTTTTGTCTACAGTGGTAAAATTTCCTTTTAGTGAGAAAAAACAAAGGAATTACGACGCAATCACTAGCTCCTTATAGTCATAGAGCTACAATAACTGGAATTTGTAGACAAAACCTCATAAACACCACGCATCCGAAGGGATTTTATGCAATAAAAAATATCTTTGCTAAAGTGATTATTCATACAGACACTGAACAGAAATAATCATAGCATTTTAGTTTAGCAAATTAACACAGTCAGATGATGTCATAAACAAGATGAGTAGAAAAGCATGTAACCATTAGCAGAACCTAATACCTTATATGAAACTAAGTCGGAAAATAAACCAACACCTTGATTGAATCACCACGGAATGTCATCACCATAATCATTTACACCAGTTATAGTAAGTACATTAAGAGTTATAAATATACAGAATCAAAATACGATAAATCCTGACAAAGTCTGTTTGGTATTTTCTTAAAAGATGTCAAATCTATTTTATTTATCTTTTTTAAATTTTATTATAGCTTGATTCCACGCAGTATTTTGGTACAGGTATGAAATCTTCAGCGTGTGATATCGGCAACCCAAAGTTTTGCAGGCCGACCAAAGATATCAGGTGTGCGTCTGCGGGGGATCGAACCTCGGACCATGTGCATGGTCGGCGAGAGTCCTAACCGCTGTGCCACCAACGCACTAAAGACCATTATGCAGTCAGTCACCTTTCTCCAATGTCAGAAGACATTGACATAAAACAGTAAAAGACAATGAACCTGCTAACAAGAAACTGTAATCATTTAGTAATGGAAGGACTTGTCTGAAATACTTATTATCAGACAAAGAATATCTGAACATACATACATAAATCGATGAAGACTTGAAAAGTCAAGTGAAGGAGTGAGGTATACTTTTCAAGATTGCTTTCACCACCAACGGAAATCAGTTGAAACAATTACCACCTGAATAAACTAATTTGGAATTGACTACTCATTAATGATTAATCTGAAAATGTATCTCCTTGAGTAATACCTGTGGAGTCCAACAAAATGAAAGTAACAACAAATATTCATCAAGGATACTGAATGAAATTGATGCAATATCAACAATTCGTACAAACTGTAAATCATGGGCTATCGAAGTGTATTTTCGAAACTAAATGCTCAATTGGTTAATCTCAGGCTTCTACGAAGTCCCAGTATACGAGATAATACATTGCTCATTTGTTCTCTTAACTAATATCAAATTCTCAGAAACTCCAACTAACCACCCCTCATTAAATCACTTTGCATAGAAAAATAAAAAACAAGTTAATGCATGTTCGATAAGCTTTAAAAGCTGTCACCTTGAAATAACAAAAACATAAGAGAAATTAATGTGCAATCTCATACCTACTGGTAGGAATTCATTGTCGGTCTAATGATTTTTCAAATTAACCTTTGTTAAGGACTATTAAATTCTTTTGCTGATGATTTATTGTCCAGTGAATATTCGACATTTAAACTAAGTTATATTTTTTCTACTGTAAATTTATTATTCATTAGAAAAGGATAATGAAAAAGATACAGGTCAGTAAAGAATAATCTTTTCGTGCAGTTTGGAAGTCCGAGAAGGTCACGAAAACACGAACAAGGATCAATCACTAATACCAGTTGGGAACAAAACAGGAAATTAAATATCAGGCTGATTAGATTAATTAACCAATTTTGTTTTCATCAAATGATAGTAATAATTGACCTCCACTGGCATTTCTATAACCATTTGCAACACTATTTCACTGTACAGTTTGATAGCAAGTTATGAAAAGACTAATAATTGCCTTGTATTCTGATATCGTTTCAGTGTAAGCTTGTACGAGTAATACATTTTCTCCGTGAACAGTGACCATTTGACCACACAGGCGACCAGTGGCGTGGATAGGTCAGTCAAACAAACCGCTCGGTCAGTTGAACTACGGTAATACAAGCAACTACGACAGCCACAGCATAATGTCAGTAGATCATCGCGAGCAGGTTGGCTTGAAGTTTCCCGAAGTTCACTTGGTATAGATTTCGCAATAATATTCGTATGATGAAAAGTGATATGCCTATCCAGTCAATTCAGTTACAGTTCAATTCAGGAGGCCACTATAAAAACAGCAAACCCACTGTCATTTTAATAACAAACAAATTAATATCGAAAATGCGTGCAGTAAGTCACGCTAAACTGTGTTCTTAACACAGAAAAGAAAGATAATTGTTCTTTCGAGAAAATAAATTATTAGTACAGACTAGTTCTCAATGCGAAATTACTAAAAAGGTCAAATAATAATAATAATAATAGCGTTTGTGTTTTGAAACAAAAAGATTAAAAGCTACAATGAATACTTACTTTTAAGGAACAAGATGAAGATATATTTATATTAACAGCATTTAACTGGAAAGTCATTTTACAGAGTATTTGAACACTGGTCCATATAAAAACAACTGTTGTCATAAATCCGTGCAAATATGTAAAAGGGAAACAAATGACTAGGAATATAATCGAGATAATATTTGCGGCTGATACCTATTTCGAATTAATAAAATTAAAATAACATTTTATTAATTTTTTTTAAACAAATTTGAAAACGGTCATTAATTAAAATACTTAGTGCAACTTAACATACAGATTACTCTGGCAAATTAAAACAACCCACTTTTAGTGGAAATTGTTACTAAAACTGCAGTAGATATAGAAAATTTTAGACTCGGTCCGGCCTGAATGTGAAAGATGAATGCCTAAAGCAAAATGCTAAACTCACAAAAGTCGTCCTGCATCGAGAATCTAAACCTTTACAGTTGTTTTTGTTTAGCTTATAAAGGATAAAACTAAAATAAATGAATTGAAGAGCATCTCCTTCGTTTTAACAATGAAACCATAAACATAGGAAGAATAGAAGTAGCAATGGTCAAAATATGATTAAGAAACGTAAGCCTACTATAGTACTACTATATAGAGAAGGAACGTATTAAACCTGAAAGAGGAATCGTAAAAGGGCAGAGATTAGCGTATTATTTAAACCTAAGAATTCATTCAGAGACAAAAATTTCGGGTTTAAAGCATTCGTTCCCTTTAGACATAGGGAATAAATGCCGTAAACAGTGACATCGCCGGGTATCTCCCTGATATGGGTCATGAGGTGGATATCGCAAGATCGTTCAAAATTATCAATAGGCAAAAGAGTCCAATTCTCCTTAAGTTTGCCGAAGCAACCTCCTGAAACCCGATTTATGTGTTCAGAAATAAGCAGTTATCAATCTTTCCTTATCCTGGAGACTGGATATTTTAACCCTCTTCTTCATCGGATTACTTAATGTCGAAAGTTCCCATTGTGTATGATCATTATTGTTCGGAATAAAGTGTTTATTTATTATATATACTATTATTTTATACATATATTGATTGACTGATTTTTGTTTAAAAATGAACTCTGTGCAAGTATTTTAAGATTGTTTATGTTAATATACTTAGTAATGTCTTTGGGCTGTAAGTAGCTGATGAGAAGCCAACGAAATAAATGATGGTACCATTTTATTCTGCAAAAACTGTTGTTCTTGCTTTATTCAAATTCATTAAGGGGAATAAATGTACAAAAAGTCTTTGTTTATCCAATCAACACGGAATGACGCAATATCAATTCACGAAAGGGAAAAATAGAAAGTGGAAAGAATAAAAATGTCCCGTGACTAACTTGATATCCTTATGGGTAATAAAAATGGCTCGAAATGTCATCCATTTAACCGTACTTTATCACTGTGTGTTATACTATATGCATTTATTTAATATGGAATTTATTGTGCGATAACATGCAAGTCAATGTTAGGAAACTAGTGATTCCTATCTGTTCATATGCACAGACCTTGTATTCACGTATGTATTTATTTAACTAAAAGTCCTCTCAGGAAAAATTAGATAAGAATAAATTGTGTCCAAAGAAAAAGCTGGAAAGATTTGTTTTCATCAGCACCAGAATGAAACAAGATTGTGTTCGCTGTCAGTCAGTACCTATCTTGCACCATTCCACCTGACCAATCGATTGAACTACTTAAGAATTCAGATGGTGGCTTAATCCAAATGAATAATGATTATGCTTGTCTGTTTTAGTGCTTTTAATGCTTATTCAATGCAATTCCCATGATTGCACAAGTCTCTCTTCGATTAATGCCACTACCTATCTCTCTGTTTTCATTTATGCACAATTACATTACAATAATATTTTGAATGCTGTATCTTTTGATGTACATAAAGTGTAGAATTGTTTTCAGATAACCAGTGTCAACAGTGACAACATCACGATAATAATAATAATAGCTGTAATGTAAGAGGTTATACTTATAAAATTTCACTTCACAAGTATACAATGAAACTTACTTCATTTATACAAGTAAGAATTATAACCAGTCCTACCACTTTAATCCAGTGTATTTCAAGAAAACGCCAACAGTGATTTGTAAGACTGACAGCCCAACAGTATAATTTTGAAACAACAATTTGAAATGCTGAATTCACATCCTCAATGAAATCTAAATAGCAAAAGTTATCAGAATAAAAATCATTAGTAGTTAATACAATTAGAAATTAGTCAGAATTTAGATTTTCTGAAAATCCATGCCAAGAATCAAAACCATTGAAGATTATGTGTACATAAATTCCGACACTTTGGATGAAAAGTAGTCTGTTAGCTTTGAAACGTAATGGTTTTAATTCCTTCTGAGCTAAACCAGTTACTCGGTGCTCTTTACCTTCCAATGATTCTGTAGCTGTTTTGGTATACGGTAGAGTCTATCTTCAGAATCTTTCATCAGAAAATTAATTGATGCAAGCAGGTAGGATACAGTGACAACCTGACGCATCTCAACCAAGAAATGGGAGGTAGTATTCAGGATTTACTCACTTCTAAACGGAAGATAAACCATGAACGAAGAAATTCCAACGAGATGACGTCAGACAATACTTCCAAGCATCCCATTGCCCCTCTTAAATGTAAGTGATACCATGAATCTCAATACTTACATAGGAAATCACTTTCCTGACCTGATTATTAAGTGATACACTTGAGATTGATTAAATATGATCAAATTCGGCTGCGGAACATAGATTTTTTATGTCGTAGACCAAAAAGGCACAGTTATTGTTTGATGACTAATAATACCTCAGGGTGGTCTCAAGTAAAATCTGAAAGTGTGGTTTGAAATTATGAGCATGACTTCAAATGACGGTAACCTATACCACGAGAGGATGAACCGGGAAATTTCAAAACACTAAAAACATTAACTAAATTTGTAGAAAGAAACTGAACAGTTGAAAACAAACACACAATTAAGCCGCGGGTTTTCAGCATATTACTACACTATTTAAAATATGCGAAAATTTTAACTGGAAAACGTCTATCATCCACTTGATACGCAGATTAGTATACCAGATACCTTCAGATCAACACCTAAGTTGAAAAAGGACTTTACTCAAAAATATATAAACACAAACAGAACGAAAGAGAAATTATAAATCACGAGTAAGTCCAACTGACTGATACATTACTAAATCTAGACCTATCATGAAAAGATATAGAAAACACGGGTGAAATACTTAGACGACGACATGCATTATTGTTCCTTACCATACTCAGCCCATCAGATGTTATTGGTGATAAGCATACACATTGAGATGAAATATGCTTGTTGTGCAACGAATGTACGTTTCACATAAACATTCTGTTGTAGGGTGACAGTAAATCACGCAAGTATTTCTCAAGGTTGTCTGGATTTCTATACTTTTCGAAAAATAACTCAACCAGGATTTTTTCACCAACGTTACATACCATCGTATCAGATTAATTAAACTTGTTGAATAAAATTCGAATATTTTAACCCGATGACACATAATAAATCTTACATTCATGACTAAATTAAATTGTCTTCTTATTGTTTCGTAAAAATTCAAAAAGGCTACTAATTGCTTTAAAATTGAATAAAAGTCCCATAAAACAAGCTTTTCGATCCGGTTAAATTACAGTAAATAATACCACATTGATCTGCATGGTAACAATATGCGTGTTGATAGTTTTGTATTTCACTCATCATCACATTATTCAATGCATATTTCGTGAAATAAATGTACCTAGATAGCGATTGACAACCAACTGCATATGCTTTTTTATGAAATAAATTCTATACGCGCAAATGTAGATTACTGAATTTTAATAAAAGCCGAAGAATTTCAAAACAGTTGGTCGGGAAGAAGGAAAAAGTCAAAATGAACCAAGTGAACAATACTGATTCCATTTATAAATTATGTCTAGCGAGAGAGAGAAAAAACGCATCAAATATTCTATACACTCTTAAACACTCACCTCCAACCGTCAGTCAGTGAAAAGTTCACTAAATGATGCAATTCTAGTAGAGCTAATATAATGTGGTTTTACCATAGAAGCTTTTTATATGGTTGTTGCCATCAGAATGCCCATCACAACCTCCTCTTACACCACCATAGTAACTACCTACTTGGGAATTTACATTGTGTCCTCAGAAATGCCTAGTTGTTTTGCTGGTTTGTTTATTGAACGGCCGAGCTTCGCATGAGTAACAGACGTGTCCACAGAAAAAATTCACACACTTGATACTTAAACACTACAAAACAAAATTACGCTACACTAAAGTTAATCCATTCACTCAAAAATATGAGTACCATTTCTAGGATAATGACCCAATAACTTTTGACAAGACTTGATAAATTGCAAAATAATACACCGAATTAATTAATTATTACTTCTATATAAATCAAATCTAACTGCATAGCAAAAACTTACTAGACAAATTACTACTAGGAGAAACAGATGTAGCTGAATTACGGTCATCGGAGACACCAGATCGTGAATGAACAGAACCCCTGGAAACTTGAGGTAATCTGAAATAATGTAAGGATGATAGCATTGTTTCTGATATTTTTAGGATTAACAATATATCCACACACACACACACACAAATGAATGAAAACATTTATTATTGCGATTCAATAAGCAAGTAGTTAATTGACAGATTTTAAGAAGTATATATGTATTCTCTGTAACAACTTGCATATCATTACAACCTTTGTTATGACACACTTATTAAAGAATGTGTTATTACACATTGTTTACAATTAGCAATACAACACTTCTAATTTCAGTTTTGAGAAATACTCATATCTTGGACATTATCGGACAAGTAGATTGAATACACATAGCCTCCTATTCGTACATACCTTTTGGTATCCTAATTTGAATTGATTTCCGAAAAAATTCTGAGCCTATTTGCTGAACAAAGTAATGGAAATTTTACCACAATATTTTTGAGATTTCTACAAATACAACTTATTCTATGTATCCACTTTTCACTCAGAACCGTATTTTTACGGAACTGCCATTTCAAACTTTGATCGAAGCTCGTATAATAATAACTCTGCAAAACTATCCGTGTTAACTAACAATAACACTATTGTTTTTATGCATCAAATGATTTTCGCTCGCCCTAAGTACTATATAAAACAATTACAATCGGAATTTTTAAACAGTTAAAAAAAAGTAACTCATTCTCTGGTAATCTCTGATTTTCCTACCGAATACAATGTCTTAACGTGTTATAAGAAAAAATCATTACTGATGATGAAGTGGTTATGTAAGAGCAATTTGGTTCCATACGAATGATACAAATACTCTCCATAATCCTAAAAGATTAAATCGTTATTCAAAATTCACTAAGATCCCTATTTTATCATTGCTGAGACTGGATTGAACTGCAGAGTAAAGATTTCGGCAGCCTTATCATCATTATAGAATTTATCACCTAGTTCACAAAATGAACACCAGATTAGTATTGAAGATATAGAACGGATTAAAAGAGTGTGGAGACGAATAATATTGTGTGCGTGTTATGGTAACCAGCAGCAACCGAATTTTCAAATATAAATATAACGTCTTTTTTTATCAAAAAAAAGTTAATTAGCATATGACAAATGTGCAAATCTAATTAGTATGACGGTGAAGTGTGATAAAACACACTACATTCAACGATGAAAAGGTATATTACTACTATTTTGCATATATATATATATATAATATATATATATATAAATCTAGTACTTGTTTCACATCAATGTCTAGCCACTTGCACCAAGTAGTATGCTGATGATGAATAGAAATACAATTCAACACATCATAAAGTTAGTTTAAATGCATATCACATAAAATTAATCTTACCGAAAACGATCCAATGCTGAAGCCTTTAAGAATGGTACATGAAAATAATGTACTTGCAAGATTATAACCACTAAAAATACTACTGGTGTCAACAGTCGTTCAAAGAGAGCTGCACTTTCAAATGTTTCCAATCCAAACGCTTTTAAGCTAAGTGAAGAGGAAAACAAAGAAAAGAAAACCAACTTAATGAACTGCCCTTTAATTATATATATCACAATTGGAAGGTATTATCTTAAATTTAAATCGTTTCATAGTCAGATTCAACTATGAAGACTGACTACCTGAGGCTAAAGGAAATAACAAGTATGCACTTACATCTCAGATGAGAGACCCAATTTATGCTGCCAAAAGCTGGGTGAATCATTAAATTGAAAAGTATAAATACACAGTAGCATAGCCATGGAGTAGACCACGATCACCCACCAGAAGCATAACATTTGACGACGCCAGGCTGAATAACTAATCTGAAAATTACAGAGGATACAGGTTTAGAAATACGTTTAAGAAGGGTTTTCAGGATAATGCGACAATGTATCACTATTTAGGCACTAGATTTGCAAGTATTCCCTGGTAATACCGTAAGTTCACAACATTAACAGCAATGTTAAACGCTTTAAAATTAGCTAGACGTTAGATTGTTAATAAATTTTTTTTCAAATTTTTTTATTACAGCTTGATTCCACACCGTATTTTTTGGTACAGGTATAGAATTTTCAGCATGTGATATCGGTAGCCCAAATTTTGCAGGCCAACCATAGATATCAGGTGTGCGTCGGTAGGGGATCGAACGCCGGACCATGTACATGGTCGGCGAGAGTCCTAACCACTGTGCCACCGACGCACAATAAAGTAAACACAAAACAAAATGTGCAGCATCATATGGTGAAATGATTCAAATCACAGCAGTGGTTAGTGATTTTTAAGGAATACACGCAATACAACGATTGAGTTTGAAACTAACTAAATAAGATTAGAGATGGTATAACATTTTATAGCAGGAAGAAATATCCGATTTCACAATCAGATATTCAATGGTCACCTAATTGGTATCACTTTGTGATAAAAATGATAATTAAAACTTTCAAGAACAGTGTGAACACAACGCAGGATAGAGTTATGCATTGATTTTGAGGTGCACAGAATTAAAAAGAACATTATTCTGTATATTTTAATACGTATTATCTAAACAGCAAGTGACATATAATTTACCAACTGAGAGCTGATAACTTAACGAGGTGGTTAAACTTGAGTATAACAATGACCCTAAGGGGAACAGTGGCCTCAACTGTCATTGCTGCGCCACCAAAGTCCATTGGATAGTGGTTAAAATATAGGGTGAGTTGCTTATACTATGGTGAGGGTAAAGTTGTAATACAGCAGTCTTCCCCTCCGGGAACTAGTGACCTAGCCATGTTGTCTCGGCAAGGTACTGGATACGTACTTTTGAAGAGTCCCAAGTTCGGACGAAACGGCTGTCCAATACTCCCTGGTTTGCAATGATTCCCGAGTAGATATGAGCTAGAAACCAATAAAAACCCTGAAAATCAACACTTGAAAATTAATCTAACGTTCACTAGTGACTGGAGTTCCAATGAGAAAGGGTGATCAGTGGATAAGATGATAAATGCTTGTCGATGACACTGACTGGACATTTCACAATTTATCGTGAACTAATTTGTATCCTTCTGATAACCTAAAATGAGAAACCAACTGCCATATATATATATATATATATATATACATATATATATATATTCGAAGTGTAATGGCAGTTGATACATCCAATTTTTCTCTGCTTCCTGTATTTAGATATCAACTATAAGACATGAAAAGTCGTAAGGAAAAAATAATAACACTAATGACACAGTACTGCAGAAGACCGATACTTTGTAGATTTTTAATTTAACCTAATAATAAAAATATACGGTAATCCGTAATGAGTGAATTAAAACACGAAATAATACCACCACTCTTACCTGAAAAATAAACATGAAGTAGATCAGCATAACCATGTAAACAATGCGAAACACGACTACAGGTTGTTGGACTGATACTAACAGCATACTCATACAACATACAACAATCCAGTACTTCACGCATATAGAATGCATAAATTCAGCTATGAGATAAAAATCAAAGAATACAGGAAATGAGTGCATTCAAAAATAACCTTCAAAGCCAAGACATGTGAATACTGTCACAATTACTAATCCACTGTGGTAAGTCAAATAACTTTATTAACATGGTACTAGTTGCACACAAATTGAAAGTTAAGTCACACTTTTACTACGCGTCTATCGATCTTCGATTGTTGACTGGACGGTGTTACAACCCTCAGTGAAATTGATTTTTCTTCTTGCCAGGCACTAATATTTATAATTCCCATTAATTTATAACTATCCCGCGCAAAAGTGTTTTCGAGTAAACAGCATACCAAACACACTAAATTTACTAATCAGAAAATTAAATGAGAACAATCCTAACGTAGATCACAGGTTGCCTTCAATTCAGATGACAACCCTCTGTAAACTCTTAATACACGGCAGTTTGAGTGAACTGAATGACTTGATCAGTACAATTTAAATGATTGGAACTCTTTTCACAATTATATGTTGCTACAACACACATTGGTCGCCAAAGTCAAAACGCTAATCTGCAATTTGCCAACTTGTGCCATCTTTCAAGCAAACAAGATACCCGGCTTTCGATGAAAGGACATGTGTATCGCGAAGTAGTTAGCTCTACCCTTCCCTGTGGCTATGAGACGTGGACGTTGAAAATATAACGTATGAAAACATTAATTGTCCTAAACTGTAGGTGACTGTTTTCTAACTCCCAAGTTAGACGGTACATGTTGACTAATATTGAGGTTGGGAGTCGAGTGTTAGGTAAGGAGTTCAAGTCAATTGATGAGGTTGTGAAGCTGCGTCGATTGAGATGCCTAAGACGCGTCAAGCATTTAAAGCCAACACCTTCCTCGTCGAGCCATGTTAGCTGACACAGAATTGGGTTGGGAAAAAATTAGAGATGATCAAGTCAAAAACAAGCATCAAACCATGAAATCGTTGACAGTTAGTTTGAACCACATAATGAGTTGCAGCGTACCCAACCGGAGTTTTCGAGTCGCTAAGATCCAATGACTGGAGACTGTTGGTGATATGGCTCCCAATCGTCTTCAGTAGCACAAATGCATAATCTTTGTGATCTCTCGGGTCCAATAAATTCTCATTATTCTCTGCGTAATTATTCATTCTGTTCATTAAAGCTTCTTTGAATCTCCTCATCCACTGTGTAAGCTATATGGAGTGTGGCGACTTGAAGTGCTACAATCCCGACCACAGTTTTACGTTGTAATCTTAGTCTCAGTCAGTTGTTCAAGCTGCTTTTACCACTTTACAGTACCTCATAAATTCTCATACATCCAAATAGAAGTAGTTTTCTTTCTCATATATGTTCTTCGCATAAAATAAAAGAATGAAATTAAAACTATTTCATACACCATAGGAACTTACTGAATTTTCTATAAACATTATTATCCACAGTTCCGAAGGATACTGCAGGTCCGTAAATACCAGCATTATAATTGTTAGTTGTTTCACCATTATCTGATTGATTTAAGAACGGGGTTGAAAGACTATTGTTATTTGTCTTGTCAGGTCGTCTACGAAACCTCAAAACAGATGGGAATGAACTTGATGTAGTGTGAGTAGCTGGAGCAATTTGTAAAGCCGAGCTTTTTAAAGGAACTCGTCGATTTGCTGTAGGTAACCGCTTAACTGCACGTTCCATTACAAACAATCTAAGCGTCAACCAAAAGCACACTAAGAAACCCATCTGAAAGAGAACAAAAGAAGATCAGTTGCAAACAACTGTACTAAAGTCTTTACACAATACCTCATTTCAATAGTCCATTGAATAAATCCTTGGTTACGTCTATTTTTAGTAGTACAATATACTTTTCTTCATTTCCTTTAAGATTTTTATTGGAACTACATCACACTAGCCACACTTGAGATTATATCCTTATAAAGTACTCTAAACATGACACATTACCTGAATCGGCACAAACAATAAATTTCCCCATTATACTTTACATAGACATAAAACTAAAGCCAAGGCAAGTTCGAAAATCCTGTTTTTTTTTCTTCCATACAGTCGATACTCTATAGTTAGTTAGTAGAAACTATGTTTGAAAAACAAAATGAAAAAATATGCTGCCGTTTATGCGCAACCAAGTTTGAACTGTCTGTAAACTTTATCGACAATTGCAGAATAATTAGAATTTTAGAAACCCAGTTATCAGGCGAAAGGGTTAAAAGTCAATCATAATGGCGAAAAAGAGATGAATACTCAAATTGTTTTCTTCCTACTTTACAGATCCCTGACATTGATACCTTTGTCGACTGCTTGAGTACTTTCCTATGTGCCTTATTCTTGTGTTATTTCAGTGTAAGAAATTCAATCAATGCATTTCCTAAGGTTCTATGAATTTTCCAATTTGTCACACTAGACCTTCCTTTGACTTTGAAAGTCATCTATGTATCTGTAATTTGTAAAATGTTTATCGAAATAGACAAAGCAATTGGGTGCTAATAACAGGTAATTTTTCACCATACAAAACAAATAATTAAAATCACATAAGAAGCACTACTTTCAGAATTATTTTAAAAATAAAGTACTTGTAAAGCAGTTACTACCTGGACAGCAAGAGCACCAACAGAGTGATCAGACCTTTGCATCCCCAACTCAGATAACTGAAGGCCATCAGGAGTTACTTCTTGTGGTAGTTCTTCAGGTGTCAGATTTAGTCCATAAACATATTGGATGAGGATTAAGACAATGGCATATAAGACGATCAGAGGACTAGAATATAAACACGCTGTTCTTGATTTTGGTACGATCCATAAAATACATGCAGATAGTAGTAGAATAAACGAAAGCCAACTACGATAAATGACAGCCCAAGCCTATCAATAAAAAACATAGTCCAGTTAGTCACAATCACATTAAAAACGATTAATTTTATCCTACTCTGATGATATCAATATGCTATAGAGAACAGACAGCTAAACTTAGTAATCTTAACCCATTCCCCTTGTTACAATTTGACTATGCATTACTGTTGAAGTATTCTGATGATGTACAAAATACTCCAAACTAATTTTTTATTTCTGCCTTGAGTACACCTACAAAAACAATTATATACGATTGTGACTGTGCAGCTAGATGAATGAATTAGCCAAAAACAGACTCTTCGCTGAACTGTTTATTCATATTTTCAGGACGGTTAAAAGACCGTAACAAAAGAAAGGACTAGTCAGCAGCATAAGTGAATTATGCAATTCTCAAATGTAACAAATATTTTCAAACATTTACCTGGAACTACTTATCTACCTACAGAAACCTGAAAACATTTCAAACAAATAGCAATCTGATGTGGAAGACTTCTTCCAGAAATCTATTTGTTTTAATTAAAAACATGGGCCTTTTATTAGCCTACTGAGTGATACACTCAGCCCGACAAATAACTCACAGCATTACAAATGAAGCGGGATAATTGTTACCATTTCAATCCTTTGCATTCTCAGTGGAAAATAGGGTTCCAAGCCTGAACTATTAAGTTTTAGTAGCAATGGTGTTCAATTTCACGGCGTGAGGCTGCTAGCCTCATGTCTAACATTCCCTCTTTACTTGGCTTAATGTCGGCTAAGTGATGTCTAAAAGCGCATCGGGGATCGAAGCCCAAACCACGTGTGTGGTTGATATCAGTATAAAACTTGAGCACTGTGGCAGAGCATAACTCCATTATGGATAAGATTTTATTTTGATAAATCACACAGTGGTGTTATACAGTAATATTAGCTGATGACGTTTCGAGCACAAACTATTGCTCATAATCATATCAAGTTGGTTGGCGAGTATTGTGCCACTGAACTACTGACAACTGAGATACTGTATTATTAAAACTGAATCAGCAGATACCACTCAGTTAGCAAACTTCAAATTCATATAATTACGAGTCAGTTTACACAATTCTTAAAACAAACTGATATACACATAAGGTTATATGAATATAAAAATCAAAAACATAGAACGCTAACCATCATTGCGATAAGCGTCAAAATGTAACTGTTTCGAATCGCAGAATAGTGCAAGCTGAGAAGAAAAGGGCGTTCAGTAGCAACATTGTTTCCAGACCATCCGTACATGTACGTCGCAAATGGAGGTGTAAGACCAAAGAGAGCATCAAAATGAGGTTCCACGACTGGTGGAGACAAAAATTGACCAGTATAATTATTTGCTGAATCCTGATGTTCAAAATCTGCTTGATCAGTGTCACCCACACGTGTAATGAGAGTATCGTACACATCATTTGCTGAGATTTCTTCTCTGGTAGCACTTCTACTCGATAATAAAGACTGTCCTTCCTCACCCGTAGCAGTATTTTGTTCCGAATGGTTCGAATCTTCAGTCATTTTCTGCTTGGTAGGCAATTCGGAATTAGGGGACTGACACTTTAATTTAGTATCTTCAGTTTCACAGTCAGCTGGCAAAACAGAAGTTACAGTTGTCAACTTTTCAGAAGACTGCATATCTGTGCGTGAGACCGGAGGATTACATGAAACTCCATTAGATGTTGATTCTTCATTATTTGCTTCATTATTCACACCCTCTACCTAAAAATAAAAAGCTATAGTTGCTGCAATGAAGACAAACTACATAAAAAAGTGAGTTTTATAAAATAAAATTTAAACCCAGTCACTACTTGACTCCTGATAACTTGGAGAGAATGAACTTGAATCCGTTATTACATAGCTTTAAACCATTGCTTTTGCAACAAAAACAACATTATCGGGCTTCAGATGAATATTACTATTATAAGGTGGCTAAAAAATACCGATAAAGCGTGTCTGCGAAATAGGTTTCAGCCTCTCTAATGAAGCATGGATTTCACTGAGATTTCGGTTAGACCCTTTTGGTGAGTGTGGACAAGTATCTAACTCAAGGTAACGCTCTTCAATCATTCATCTGAGTAAAAAACGTGTATGACTGTTATGCCAACGAGAAATATAGACAATAAGCTGTCATTAGAAAAATAATACTCATATGTAATCCGTACACTGACCTGATAACTACAATCTTTCAACCATATATACATATATATATAATGTTTATAATTTTTCAGAGATATTAGTTTTCATTAAATTTATACGTCAATCAAAATACTCCCAAAATTCAGCTTCATATTTCTAACCCGTGACAGATGTGGTCTAAACTATGATATGTATTAGTTAGTATCAGTACACGGCCAGATACTGGTCTGCTACTGTTAGCTACAGTATCAGAAAATAGTACACTCCCAACTAATACCATTTCATACGCAAAATTCAGGTTGTTTAACACTAAACGCATAATTAATGTAATCTTTCATACATTATAGCGAAACATAAAACCGTCTGTGAAAGCGAATTCCATCAAACTACTATCAGAATTAGCCAGCAAAACCAAATCAGAGATGATTTAGTATATCTCGAAATTACTTGCGTGATATCAACATAAAGGAATTTTGCAACAGACTACAAAACAACGAACTAAAATATGTGAGGATAGAGTTATTACTTTAATATGGAAACGTACCAATTTAAAAGTGGACAAATGCATCAGTTCAACTTGCCATGCCTTAATACAGCACCAAAATAAGAAGGCAGAAACATAACGAGACTACAATAGGCAAACACTGACGTGACAAAAAGACATTAAACAGCAGTTAGTAACCATTTTGAAAATCTCGAAGATGACTAGAAGTAAATATATCTGTACTACTGAGAACTACTTTCATCCATATCACTGACGATCTCCAATTATTAATTTTTAGCGTCCTTGGAGGTTTAAAACTTTTTCGATTAACTTTCCCTACTTACCTAACACTACATGTAACCACACCATTACTTATTATGTTCCTCCACCTAATGCAACCAGATGAACGAAAGCAGTCAACCGAAAACAATTGGTTCCCATTGTGGTGTCTCACAGTCAGACAGAAAGGACCCCTACATAGTACACACGTCTTTTGATGGACAGTCAGTGCCACAATTATTGTTGGCGATATCTTAGTCAAGCTGATAATGAAATAACACCCTTATTTGGACTTCATATTATCTAGTAAACAATAACTGAAATCCTCAAATCACTACGTGTCAAAGAGTATAATTACTAGAGAAGACGGTTATGTACTTGAAAAATATGAGTCATATTTTTTACGAACAATGTAATAAGATTTCCATAAAAGCACAAAGAACTGGCAATGAATGAAAAACTATTGGTAAGAAAGAACATTTATGAAATCAAGAGCGAAATATATAGTAAGAAAAAGCAATACATAAAAAAAATTATCTAACTAATGAGAAACTACTCCAGTATTCCATGGAACTTATCTATATAAAAACCAAATTAATTATTTACCTTTGACACCAGAGGGAACATATTTTAGCATCCCATTTCTGCTAATGCTGACTCTCAACTATCCCTTCGATTTGTAACTAGAATAATGACCAACAATATCCTTAACCTCATTTCAGCTTTCAAATTTTCATTAAATCGTTTGGTTTCAGGACAAATCTATCCCATACAGCTAAGGTGCAATCACTAAAAGTTGGCACTAACAGAGCGATATGCATAAAATGGAAACCAAACAGTAAACACAAACTTACATTTCCGCCAAGATTGTTACACCACAATTCAGTTGGGAATTCTGAATTGCTAGCATTGTTATGCAGAAGCTGAAAACCGAGAAAGAAGAGTCAACCTGACTGAACTGTTTTTAAATTTTGACATTAAGTGCTTCAAGTACTACATTAAAGGGCTGACAGCTTCAAAATGGAATAAATAACTCTACGTCGCTTAAGTTTACGTACGACAATTTCAGTTAACACATGGGTACAAACGTGCAGTAATTAGAGTTATTACAATGAACGACCAGAGACATATAGCAACTAAAGGAAATGTTCGCCCTTTTAAATGTACTGTTCCCATTCCAAATCGAACTCTTCCGTTATATACGTCTTGCATCAACAGCTAAAATGATTTTTTATGGGGCGAAGTTACTCATATACATCCGGTTCATAAATGCAAGCTTTTCAATCAATGAGCAACCTCATAACGAAGTTCCCTAATTTGTTTAAGTACCATTTCCAAACAACTGCGGTAAAAATGTTGAAGAAATATGTGAACGACGTGCACTGTCGTAGATATCCCCCAGGACCCTGAATTTTCTAATTCCTTTGATTTAAAACGCACTTCGAAAAGTTGTTGAAGAATACACAGTGAGATAATTACGTATCCAACGGAAGCTTTTTAGCGTAGTGAACAGTAACTGCTCGACAACTATAACTGGTGATCATAGATACAGCTGTGTAAGTTTGCAAACTAACGGCCATCTGATAATAAACGCTGGTAATAATAGTTGATTATTCTTAACACAGAGTAGTTACGCAGACAACTGGCATCGTTCTACAACACTGTGTATTAACGTGGTATGCCAAAATCCATACAAAATAAAGTTCTTACTGTCGGATACTAATTAATTTAATTCAACTTATGCAATCCGGAGAACATTAAGTAACTTACAATGTGAAAAATTTCACCGAATTCCTGATTCACTTCTTTAACTGCATAAAATATACGTTAAAACACTTACATAAATACCATCTAGCCAGCGTCGAGTTTCAAGAACAAGAACATAATATAACAACATCGTAATTGGTGGAGCCAAACAATCGACAATACGGAAACCAGTTGGGAATATTATTTCACCAGGTCTATCGCACGAGGTGCGCATTATATAATATAAACCAAGTAGCCTACATGGAAAAAATAGAGGTAATATATAAGTGAAACTTAGACGCTCATTGAAAAATGCTGAGTGAGATACGTATATTGGAACTGACAAACGACAAGTATGTCCGACAGATATACTACTTTTGTATACATGAATTCCAAGTATTTATTTCATTTGGTTTTAGCAATAAGAAAAAATTGAATTATAGCTTTGTCACTCTAATTTACTACGTTCACTTTTAAAGTTACACAATAGATTGATCAAATTACGCAGACCTGAATGCAGTAATCAAGTTACACTTATTTCATGAATGATAGTAAAAAATTGTTTCAATGTTATTAACTCGACATTATTGAATAGAGAACTACAAAGATTTTCCTTCCTCTTTAAGAGTTCTACTTTCTACCACTCACTTCGTGTCAAAACTAGCACAGCAGCCCTGATAGCGCAATTAACCCACGCGATAACTCTGACACAAGGAAGTGCCCCCAATCATATTTCATTATCATGTTATTAACGAACAATTGGCAAACCATGAGAACTGATAAAATTGTAATTGTGACTCAATTACAGTACGTGAGGTTAGTTTAAGAGATCTGATTCATTCATTTCACATAGTGTTCAACTAATAAAAATCCCAAAGACCCGACGAAAATGTAGTGTTTTGGGGCGTTATGACTTAATAAGATAACCAACAACAACTCAATGTAAAGTAACACCCATACAGAAATTCTAGAAAAATTGATGAGGACAGTTACAAAACAGACATTCAATTGTTTTTAGACAGCAGGGTATAATAAAAACCCATATATCACATCCCAATTACCTACACTTAGAATTGCTGAATGAACAGTGCTTCCTAAACAATATATTAATTAATGAGGTGGCACGCTACATTTTTAATTGATATTCGTAATAAACACGTTAACGGTGACTGCAGATCTAATCGAATTTTGAAGAGCGGCTTGAGACTACTGCCACAATTAAAAGGGTTCAGGGACATTGACTCAAACTGCGAAATCGCACGGTATAGCCTGCTGGCTCCCAGTAAATTCAGCTTTTTCTACTTTAAAGGTATTGTTTCAGCAAAATATTTTAACGCACCACTTAATTCAGCTCATTAGCTTAGTGCGTAAGAATTTTTAAAGCAATGCTTCAATTTTAATAAATTAGTGGTTAGTTACCTAATCAAGATTCAATTCCACCACCTTATTTCGGAACACAATTAAGATATTGATTCCCGATTAATCCCCGTTTACAGAAATAATTAGTGCATTTGCATTAAACTCAGTTGATGCAGTGGACAACTACTTTACCAGTTGGCCTGTTAATGAGATATGTAAGGTCGCCAAGATTCACGGAGAAATTACGAGACAAATCCCTAGATCATGAAGAAAAAGTGTATTTTGGAACACCAAAAGCATTTTCACCGAATATGTTGTTAATATCAAAGGGGCATTCAAGAGACGTTCGTTCGGTGATTACTTACTTGCACGATGTTTGGTGTCGACCACCTAACAAAAGAGGTAAGTAATAGGTAGCGATTAGTTGTCCTAATTTACGACTGTAAGGTCATATAAAAAGTGCGCTGACAGTATTAACGGTAAGATAAGAACCACATCACTATTTCATACAAACTTTGGTAAACTCGATATAAAATGTGACCTACCTTGCCAGAAAGCCCCCATCCTTGCAAAATTCTTGGAAGAAAGGAAATTGATACAAATAATACAAACATACATGCAGTCCGCTGTACACCACAAGAAATATGCGAAGAGAAGCGAAGAGAGATGGGCTGGCATCATTCCGACAAGCCCAGTAAGTACATATAGCAAGGAAAGAAAGAAGATAAACAGCAGATGGTAATGAAGGTGACGTTATTCCCGCGAAACACACAAGTAACAATGTTGTCAGCATTCGCAACGAATCCATCGCCCAGGCACGCCATAGTTTACGTTGGCTTTCATTCCACGATCTTGTAAATATAAAATATGTTTTGTCGTGTCGCTTGTTTCTCCTCACATTGACTCTCTGTGCTTGTACTGGACGCTTGCCAGTTGTATTTGCTGTCAGAGGCTTATGGGTGGTAAACTGGCTTTCACAGTGACTATGATCAAGGTTGTTTTCAGCGGCCGACAACGCAGTATTTGGAGATTGAAGAGCTGGAAGAACTAGACGTCTGTTACAGACGTAGACCATTGCAGCACCTGCCACAGCCAACATAAGAAGATCCGGCATCACAAGTCGCATTGCGCGATAAGGCAACATTCCATCAAGCCTCTGAACACCAATCTGAGCTGCGATGACAGCATCTTGACCTTAACAAATATCATTATTCAGCATGTGATAACTTACATTTGCGAAGAGCGTTTTCGTATGGTGGTGCGACCGCTAGGACTATATGCAACGTTGGGTGGGATAGAGTGAATATCACACACACTATTATAAGCAGGATTAGATAAACTTGAACTTTAGCTACAAAAAAATGTAATATGTGAGTGTAGCTTACTTTTGGACCTGGAGCATTTAGGGAGAGGAAGCAATGGACAAGCCAGCAGGAACAGAAGATACGTGAAAGAAAAAGCATTGTATCGCACAACTGTAACCACAAACAATGCAAAGGGAATGACCAAACGGAAAAATATCAAGTCAGCAACGTAGGGAATCATAACACATTTACTGTTTCGAATTGGCAACAAATCCGAAGTACATTAAATAATTAGAAGAGAAGATTTATGCTGTAACCAAACTTGAAAAGTAAACAGATGATGGACGAAATTTTCTACAAATAGTTAGCATGGTGAAGACTTGACTTGAGGTCACTTGACTTTTTCCTGATTGGATACGACTGTTTGAAAATATTCAGGCGGGTTATGTTAACTCAATAAGTATTTCACATAAACAATCAAACATTAGAAGATGGAAGACCACTGATTTCATATTTTTCGCGGTAATCAGATAAAGCACAACCCATATTTTATTCCCCACGTCTATTTTTCCCAGTGCTAAATGGCTGCGATTGGTTTTGGCATCCGTGTACTTCCGTTTATGTTCCCCTGCATCTATTTCTTTAAATTACTCTTAAAATACCATTGCAGAAACAAAAACCGCCGTATATGAAAATGAACACACATACAAACCTTGCAGTATTCCATGTCTTGTTCAGGAAGCTAGGTGGTAGAAGTGCTACGACCTTTTCTTCCCGAGTGCACAACAAAAAACAACGACACCTTTCGTTCATTTCACACTCTTTATTGAGTATTAAGTCTCGAAGACAGTTAAATCCACCAAATGCTGCATTAAGCATGTGGTGGGGCAGATGAGTGTTAAGACCTCGAAGTTCTAAATATATCAATAAAAAATTAGACACCTTGGTAGTATGCTTTTTAATATTTATTTATTTATTGGATATATTGCACAGTGAAATGATCACAGTGATGAACAAAACTAGGAAATAATTGTGTTTCATGATGTAACACCCAATAAACAAGTAAATACTGAACTGAAAGTTCCTCCTCTGAAGTACCGGATGTGTCTCAAAAGAGATACACGATCTATTTTGAAAAAACATTTTGCTGAGGACTACACTGGATGATAGTTTTAGTCTTCGGAAATATTCTTAGTCTTCCACACGCATTATGATATAGCTTGACACGAAATTTTCGGTATGAAATTTTTGGAGGTCCTTATTCCAAACTATGGAGTGTGCTTGTGAGAAGGGTGATATTTTTATGTTGTGGAGTAATTCCTGTTTTGTTATGTTCCTGTCATCCGGTTTGTTTTGGTTCAACTCAGATTAGTTAATTGGTCATTTGCGAATTCCGTAAGGTTTTGTATACTTCATTTTTTCACTGTTTTTATGGTTAATTTGTAGCGCTTTTAGTAGTGTAGAGTTACTGTGGATTGCGAGACCACTATTTTTCGAGGGATGATGTGATGTAGTGTGGTAGCTTCAGCCACTCATTTGCACCGCCCTAACACCTTTGGACTAAAGGAAATGCAGTATGCTAATATCTTGAATCCAGAACGTTGACACAAACGGAGGACTAAGTAAGTAAGCGGGCATAAGAAGCTATTATGATGGAAACTAATCCCCCGAAATTATTAGTCAGCGGCATCCCTCATCTGAAAATAGGCTCCTGCTACCAATATTGAAGGTGCTAGGTCAATCACCTACACCACTTGGCACGCCTAGTGTTACTTTTGGACGTGTGTCTAGAACCCCTAATAAGTGAGACGATCATCACCCTGTGCTTCTCATCTTGTATTTTAGGCAATCAGCATGGTGTTTTGGTTTTTTCTGGTCTCAGTGTTTCAAGTGCTTTAGGACTTACAGAGTAAACGCGTGGGCGGGTGCACAGAGTATCCTGCGTAGTCATCGTCACCTTGCTCCTGACCCATCCTTGGAAGGGTCGCAGAGTGCGTCCCAACAAATCTGCTACTAAGACCAAAAAGGAACCCAAAAAGGGCGTATAATGCTGGTGAATGTAAGACCAGCCGGCGAGATTATTATGACGTGTAGCTCGTTGACTGAACAAGTGGCAACAGTGGAAGAATCTAACTCCACATGAATCGTACCAAGAGACAAGAAGTTGATCAATCCCCAGAAAGGGAAGATTGCAGGAAACAACGACAAGACCAATCCTACTTTTACTGATATAGGGTGGGATACTAGTTCGAATGTGTGAATGTGCAAACACTAGTGTTTTACTTCTCAACCCGCATGTTTAATGATACAGTCAATCATCTGAAGTTCCTTCTCATGGATTTCTGATCCAGTAAGTGAACAACATTACCTCTATCCTTAATTTGACGTAATCCTTAATTAACGTAACATCCTGTGCATTTGTAACTGTGAATGTGTAATCTACTAATCTTCACCAAATTATGGAGGGAGGAGGCTAAGATTTCAGTTACTTAGTTTTCCCATCTACCCACAAAAACATCTGCCACTATATGGGATATGTTCACCCCATGGCAACTCCCTGTATGTTAGTTCTTTAGAAATTAAGTACCGCAGAAATCAGACACAGCTATCTAGTGGTGCTTTCTTCCCCGGTTCTAGATTATGGTAGGAAATTAGTTTGTTCCTGGTCGCTTCCATAGGCAAATTTATTTGTATTTACAGGCTGAAGGTGTCGAAATCAAGCATGTTCTCTTTAGCATCTAAGTTTAAATTGTTTATGATATTAGTTCACTAGAATCCACAAGTCAGTATTTTGAGTGATTCCTAATTGCATTTAATACTATAACTAAATAGTCCGACAATTTGTAAGTAGGAGGACTTCTAAAATCAAATATTGGTCTTACAGGATATTTCGCCTTCTGAACATCAACCGTGTCATACATCAACTGGAGCTATTCGCTTTGATCGCTATATCAAACCATTTAATCTCACATGGAAATAGTTTTATTGGGTGCATGAGCTCCCCTGTAGATTTCCTAACTTTACCCATGACATTATTCAATATTTTTTAAAATTTTTCTTACGGTTCTGTTAGTATGACAGTAATAACCCTGCCAAGTAGCCTGATTTACTTAATACTACTGTTTAACTACTTTTATCTGTTTCAGTAAGTTCTATATCCATGTTATTTTTAATAATTAATGGAATTTCTACCGCTGGGTTCATAAGGTTAAGTATTCCTGCCATCCCGATGCTAGCGAACATTGTTCTCGCGCATCCTGTGTAGTTATTTCATCTACCGCATTTAGTGCCGTTTTCTATTTCTGGGGTGGCATCTGCAGGTTTCGGCTTATCCAGTGCTACATTGAAATCTAGTCGCCCGCGTTTGAATTACCACAACAGCCAGGAAGAAGTTCAATAGGAATGATTAATCATCTGGAAAATTCTCCAAACCTAGCGACAAATGGAAAGGAAGAAACAGAACTATAAAAAATAAGTTTCCAAGTTCTTTAGTTTAAGTGGATATGATTCCTAGCAATACGCCTTGTTCGAAAAGCCATCTGGTAACAAATACTGTTTCACTGCGTGGTACATTGGATTCTCGTGATACCAATGCCATGGTTCTCTGCTTGTGTTCTAACATTAGGCATCCATATTTTGCATTTAGGAGAATCAACTGCATTCATCTATCTGAGCAACACGCACATGATCTTGAGGCAAAAGGGTCTATATTTCATAACTCACTGCCTGACTAACATACTGAGCTCATTTGAAAAAGATTACCAGAGTCAAAAACCGTATTACTGATAAGGATGGAAATTCCCGGAGACTTTTAAGTTTAGTACAAGGCTAAGAAGATGACATCAAGGACGTGAATTTGAGAATCAGTCCTGACTAGCCACAAGAGGATTCACTTGGAAGGAAACAAGCCGCGTTTGAATTAAAGGATGTGTTAGATTCGGAGAAGTATTTGTTTACGCTGCTTGAACAACTTCAGGCCTGTTTCCGGATGTTTTAAAGTGGGAATAACGCCCTCGGATTTTGTATGGTAGTCTATCCCGCTATATCTGCGCTTTGATCACACTATCTGCCGAATCTTCAGCCTGAACCAATTAACCCAGCATCCAGACAGCTCCAATCGCAGTCCTAATTATTCTAGGGGGAAAACAAGACTTAATGCTGCTTAAGGATGCATTTATTGAACGTAGTGAGAAGAGAATATAGGGATAAGAAGTCACGTCACAACGAAGTCACAACGCACTTGCCCTTTAGGAACCCAGCTGTGTGCAGTGCGATTCAGGCAGCCTATTTGAACGAGTTGAACTCTGATGGTGAAATGGCCGAGGTTCAACTGACTTGGTGAACTTCACTGATCCCCAGCATCACTCCTCCATCCAAATTGACTAAGGTTTACTCGACCCGGTGCGGAGCATTAGTGCGAGTGAGAGGATGTTTAGGAACCTGTAACATTCGTTGTGTGTTGAGGTTCTGAATCAGAAACTGGCGAGGAGAAAGTTTGTTCTGAGTAAGTAAGTGGCAGTAATAATAGTATGAAGAATTTGATGATGAGCTAGGCATTCAATGAAAGTAGTGGTCAGTTAGGCTGATAAAAATCCCTGACATCAAAGTGTAAATAAATCTTAATCTCACAGAATTATTCTGTGCTGGAGTTATGCCTAGCCACAGTGCTTAAGCTCCATTCTTATATCACTAAGTGAAAAAACATGGTAAATAACAAGAGCTAAATGTGACGGGCATTCACATAGCATATAGCTGACGTTCTGATCATCAATTTTAGTGTTTGTCGTAAGTGGTGGAAAGTGAACTATGA